AAAGAGGATGGAGCCAGGCTCTTTAAGGTGTTCAGTGGCAGGACCAAAGGCAATAGGCACAAACTGGAAGAAACACTCAAGGTTTCCTTTGAATACCAGAACACAATTTTTTACTGTGCAGGTGATTAAGCACCCGCACAGGTTGCTCAGGGAGGTTATGAAGTCTCCATCCTTGGAGACATTTGAGAGCCACCTGGACACGGCCCTGGGCAACTGTCCCTTGGTGGCCTTGCTTAAGGAGGGGGGTTGGACAAGATGACCTCCAGAGGCCCCTTACAACCTCAACTGTTCTGCAATTCTCTGAAAAATTATTCATACTGAAGAACAGCCAAGACAAAGTCTCTTGGTAGCATCATTACAACATGTTACAAGCAACATATCATATGTAATTGCTATAAGCTTGGTAGGAGTCTCTCATTACCAAAAAGGAGACAGATACAAGAGTTTAAGGGAGTAACACTGTAAAACAACTTTGCATTTTTCTTTATTTGCCAACATGGAAACAAGATGATCTGGGAAAACATTTCAAGAATTACAGAATACTGAACAGAACATAACATTCTTCAGACAGTGTACAAAATACACTCATGGAAGCACAGGGTAGAACTAAACCACACACCAAAGCTGATTTAATCCAGAATCAGAAAGAGACAAATAAATTTCTAAGGGGAAAATAAAATCAACAATGAAGTACTTCTTCCTCCAGTCTTACAGCCCTAGTGCTAGAAGAGAAATTTACAAAACACTTAAGATGAGTCTGAGAATTTAAATTCACAGACTCAGGAAAAACAACTGTTTTATATGATGTCTCAGTTTCTCCCACTACCAGCTAAAAAAGTCCTGGTCTGAAAATAACAAGTGATTATTTGTCCTCATAACTATCTCCTATGCTTCCTGATACACAGGTACAAACATAGCAAAATTAAAGCAATTATCCTCAACCGAACTTCAGCTTGAAAAATTGTTATTTGTTTCATGATTTAAGAAAGGCTCCTTTTGAAAGTCTTCCTAGACTTCAGATCTATACTAAACAGTCTAGGTAAGACATATGAACTTTAACTGCAGACTGTATGTCACTTTTCCTCATGCCATATGGCTACAAGTGTGCTACAACACAAAGCATTTTCAGAGGAATTCAAATTGTAGGTTTTTTCCCACCTTTCAACCCTGATATTTGATCAATGATTATCACACTGTTACTCTCATTCTTGGTGAAATGTAAGACTAATAAATTGAAATACTTTTAAACTTCTCTGGAGTTCTCCAAAATCCTTGTTATTTTCATTCCTACTGCAGATAGAGATAACAGTTAAAACACCTAATCCATTAAAATTATCCAGCCTCCCAAAGAAAGAGAATAGGGTTTTTCTTGCTTGTGGTAGGTTGTGGGTTCTTTTCAATCCAGCCAGTGAATAGTCTGTTAGTACAGTTATTTTTCTTGCAGTAATTGACTATCTTAATAGACTTATATTCTACCAGTGTTACATTAACAATACAAAATTATTGTGCTTAAATCAGAGATTTAACAAGGGACTTGCCTAGAACTGTAATACTCTGCAACTTAGTTTGAAGTTCTGGTACTAAACAAAATAAACCAGCCATATTTTACTCTAACACAACATCAAAATGGACATCCAAGTGAAGAAATTGAACTTCAGAGGCTACAAATGCTAAAATAGTTTTAATCCACATATGCAAGACAAGTTTTATAAATACACTGGCAATTTGCTTGTTAGACCAACTAGTATAATCAGAAAAATAAATTCGATTTTGAGCACTTGGTCTTTCTTCAGATTTGAAGTAAAATAGTATATTTCAAGATAGTTGAATTTCAAGAATTAGTTGAAAATAATTGCTCTAATTTTGTTAGATCATCTCTGAAAGCAAAGATGTTTGTAGAGGGGAAGAATCTTTCCTGGAGGAGTTAAAAACAGGAGAAAGTGGAATAAACTAGTTACCTCAAGGGGAAGGAAAAAGCTTATTACAAGCTGTTAGGAAAGAAGTAGTAATGAACCATAAAAATATCATCTTTATCATGTCTGTAATTTTTGGCATCTAACAAAATAACACATTTGAGTTCACTGAGTTTGGTTTGGAAAACCCAAGGATTCTCCCTTGAGAATCACAACATGACAAACAGTGATTGCCTTCACAGGTAGTTTTGCATTATTGCCCTTAATTGGTTCTTGGAGAGTTTGTTTTGATGCGCAACAATTTTCTAGTTTTACCTCTATGGGTATTTTGAGGACATTGAGATCCTGGCTGGAATATATTACATCCTATGAAGTACAAATGTAGGCTCCCAGGACTCTGATTTCTGCTGTAATATTTATTGGCTTATGGTAATATATTGTTTAATGTATTGTATATATACAATATATATCTTGCATATTGGCTTTATGTTTTATATTTCATGTTTATTCTGGACAATTTAGACTACAAAACTTTTTCTGATGATTAATTCAGTTAGGTTAAGAAGTGGTTCTAGAAGTATTTCTTCCAAGATATAAGCTTTGTCCACTACAACTGATAATTTTTTTAATATTACATTGCAACTAGGAGTGCAGAAACTGAAGCAGGTTTTCTGTCTGGGGTTTTCTGCTGCTTTGGGGATTTGGTTTTGGTGTGGTTGTGTTGTTTGTGGGGTATTTGGTTTGGGTTTTTCTTTTTTTCTTAAACTAAAGATTTATACTACTTGTTTAATTTACTATGCAACATCTGGGTAAATCTTCAACAATGGTAATTTGTTTTCATCAATAATTGAGTTTATCTACCCAAAAAGCTCTCCTTAGATTATCAAAGTGACTATCGTTCTCATTAGATGAGAAGGTCTGACTGTATGATGCAAAGGCCTGGCTGTATGTTGCAACGATTTTAGGTATGTTTCGGATGATTACTAATGCCCAATCTTCCAGCTGTGAGAAGCCCCAGTGCTTTTTACAGAGGTACTCAAGGGTTACATCTCATATTCATCATTTGACAGACATCTTATGCACATGCAAAGAAGGTCATATATTTTCTCCTGGTACTGGGTGGACACTCATAGTTTATATATATAGGTCTTCACCTGAGGAGCTTCAGGAAAAAGAGCAGACAAGAACTCCCTGCTGCAAGCACAACTCATACAGCCTGTACCAAATGAGTTTTGTATTCATATTCTTCTCATGTCATCCCCAAGCACGTTCAGAACATTCAGAAAAAAGATGCATCCCAAATGCCATAGTTTTTTACAACCTGATCTACAGTACAGAGAAACATTCGGCGGAAATAAACAGAAGTTACACGATCAGGAAAAATACATTAATATTTACCATCAAAGTCTTGAACTCAGATATACATTGAAACCACTTCCATCCTCCCATCTGTCTTGCATTTCATTTTCCAAGTCCTGATTCAACAGTGTGCTTAATCATACTAATTTTAGCATCTTGTGGCATCTGACCCTCAGTTAGTACCACTAAGTAGCAAGAACTAACTGAAAGAATGCTAACCTGTTTATTGACTTCAGCCATTGACAGTTGTAACACCATCAGCATGTAGTCTGCTCCACAGACAGTAGTCCTTTCAGAGTTTGAAAATAAAGGCCATTGTCTTCTGAAACACCTGATCAGGTTTAAAATTTGTTGCTGGAAAGCAATCATTGTCTGGAGTAGAAGACAGAAATAATTAAGAGAAATAAAAATTAATGTAACTATACAAGAGGTCTATGAGCATCTTCACCTTCCAAACTTCGTGCAAACCCTGTTCTATCTTCTTGCAGATCAAGTACCTAGAATAAACTCTTCCCATTAAACTGTCTAGTGCAGCTTGCCTCACTGTGACAGGCCAACTATAAAGAGAAGGGGTTAAAAGTGCTTATGTATGACACGTCTTCATGAAGACACCTTACTTTCTTTGTACATTATACCAACATAAAAGAATAAACTTTATCACAAACATGACAGTCTTTTGTCTCTGAAAAGCACAGTCGGAATGCCCTAGAGGGTGTTGTTCTATACTACCTGCATTCACTGTACACGCAGAGCAGTGTCTATCGGAAAGTTTCAAACCTGGAAACAAGAGTTTTAATATTACTAAGATTTATTAACAAAGACATCTCTAAATGTCCATTTCTCTGTTGTTGCCTTTTCTCCTTTTTTTTCCCCCCATTCCATAAGTCATTATTTCCCCCATTTCCTTTGGCAATGACTTCCAGTATCAGTTTCAAATATTACTTTTTCATGCCTTGGTCTTTTTCACCTTCTTGCATTTGTCAAGACACAGTTACACAAGACTCTTTAAAACAATTTGCCTTCTTTAAACCTGCTCTTTCCTGAAACACACTTCCCAAACACTGCATACAGTATAGGAGCAGCACTCATACCAGTTACTTTCAGAGCACAAAGTCAATCTTTCCCCTTATTTCATACAATTACTTACTCTCCAAAATGCTTGCACAGGGCAACCTACTTTGTATTACGCTGGCACATATGAAACATATAAGCCATGAAGAATGAAACAGTGGGGCAAGTGCAGGTCAGTATAGGACAGACAACAATCTCTCTGGAGGAGTTTCTGCCTCTCCCCATTGCTCTGAGAGGTTTCCAAGGGACAAGGCCTATCACTCAGAGTGACCACACAGCGAAACAGCCCGAACAAGCCAAAAAGCCAACTAAACAAACCCCCTAAACCCTGAAAAATCGCAATACTGTTGCTGCTGCCGCCCCACTCCTCCAGCTGAACACCCCTCCCTCCCTCCGTCCGTCCCTCCCTCTCCCCTTCCCACCCGCCTACTGCGCCCACCTCAGGGCCTTCCCCCACCCCTCACACACCGCCCAGCCTCGAACAGCTCCGCCGGCCTCAGGCACCAGGCGAAGCTGCGGCATACAGCCCCCGAAGGAGAAGGGGAGAGTCCCCAAACCCCCTGCCCCACAACGGGCTGAGGGCTCCCGCTTCTCCAAGCGGCGTTACCTGCCTGACAAGGAAGCCAGAGCCGCTCCCGCTTCTCCAAGCGGCGCTACCTGCCCGACGGGGAAACCAGAGCCGCTCACACAGGGAGCCGGTTACGGACGCCGAGCTGCCCTCACCAGCGGTTTAAATTTAAATCCTCCGCCGCTGCCCAATTAGAGAGCGGGAGCCGCTGACCCGGAAGCACAGGGGTTGGTAGCAGCTCCTGGGGTGGGAAGCGCTGTTGGCGGGAGAGGCGGTGTCAGTGGCGGTGCCGGTGGGTGACTCGGGGCCGGGAAGGTGGGTGTGAGGTGAGGGCAAGGGGGTCGTCCCGTCCCGGGATTGTAGGGGCGAACTCGGAGCTTCGGCCGCTCAGATCTAGGAGCCGGCCTGGCCTAGTCAGGCTCTCGCCTTTGCGGGGCCGGCCCGGTCTGTGGCAGCCTCTCTCGGGCATGGCAGCGGGGCCCTGAAGGGAGAAGGAGGGAGCAGGAGGATAAAGGGGGAGAGGGTGGGTAACGGGCACCCACGCGGCTGATTTGCCCGAATTGTGTTTCCAGAAAGAATAGAGCTAATGGCATTCTTGGCATTTTCAGCAAAAGCTGGTCGGGTGGCCTGTCTTTGTGGGAAGCCTTGAAGGAAGCAAACTCTCCATAGGGTTAAAATTTGCATTTGGCCTTAGAAGCGTGGCTGTACAGGTTATATGGCTAAGTTTATTTATGTTAATGTGGTGGTTTGTTGCGTTAATTAACAAATAAATAAATATTGCAAGTATGGAGAGCGTCTCAGTGATGCTCGTGTCAAACCTGGGTGGCTCCCAAGCAAAATACTCAGTCTTGGATGCTGAGACCTTCAGATCGTTAACACAGAAAAATCTGTCAAACGTCAGAGATTTAAAGCTGTTTTTCCATGTGGTGTGTAATTAAAGGCCTGATTTCCCAAAAAAAGGCTTAAATTAGAGTCAAATCTGTACTGGATTAAAAGGAGTCATTCTGAAATCAGTTGCGTATCTCCGCCTGAACCTAATTTGCTTGAAAATTGGTTGAATATAGTAAAGTATAAGCTCTTTGGTACACAGAGGTATAGGTGCAGTGTCTGCAGCTGGGGAGGTTTAAGTCATGAAACCATGTTTAAATGTTATGCATGACAGTATTCTCAGCTACAGTTTTGCAGCCTTGATTAACTCTGCTTTTAGTTAGACACAGTCTTTGAAGAGGGGCATAAGTAAAGAGAATTTGAAGGTAGTAATGTAGCATTTCTTGTAGCGTTGTTGAAAATTTGAAAATTCTGTATGTGGCTTTTCTGGTGTGTATAGTTATTTAATTTCTTGTCTTGGTGTTGGGTTCCCAACAGTAGCACAAAATCTGCAGTTATTGCAGAAGTCTGTCGATAACAGTTTTGAATGTGTGTTAGTTAATTTAGTCAATCTTTTGATGAAACTACATGCTACATCTAAAAATAATGAGCTTAAGTGCAGTTTTTGTATTCCTAAATATGATATTACAGGAAATTTGGGGGGTTTGTGCCACAAATACCTTTTACATTTTTTCTTCATGCAAATGAGTAATGCATGCTTTTTAAAACTTTATTTGTAGGAATGTAGATTTTCCTCCTGGAGAAGACATCACTTCCATGATAATTTAACTTAGTCCACTGAAAATGAAGCAAGATTCTACTAGAAACATTGCTTACACTGTGGATTGCGAAGATTATGTGCACGTGGTAAAATTCAATCCGTTTGAGAGTGGAGATGCATGTTCCCTCATTGCATATGGTGGCAATAATTATGTAGTTGTCGGGTTGTGTAGATTTCAGGTAAGTTTCTGTTATTGTTGATTTTGTTAGTTGCTTCCTGAAACTTACTTTGCCAGCACCTCTACTGCACAAAGACTGGTCACTTTCCTGCTTCCACCCCTCCCCATGTAACCAGGGGAAGGTTTTACTTGTTCATTACATTAACAAGTTTGGGATGTTTGTTCTTCAAGAAAATATATAAATAGATATAAGTATACATATGTAAAATACACTTTGGTATTAGTTACCATCCTGCTGGTATCAAGTTCCTTTTGAATAGAATCATAGAATGGTTGGGGTTGGAAGGGACCTTAAAGATCACATAGTTCCCACCCCGCTGTCACGGCCAGGGACACCTCTCACTAGACCAGGTTGCTCAAAGCCCCACCCAGCCTGACCTTGAACACCTCCATGGCAAACTGTTCCAGTGCCTCATCACCCGCACAGTAAAGATTTTTTTCCTAATATCTAATCTAAACTACCCTCTTTCAGTTTAAAGTTGCCACCCCTCATCCTGTCACTGCACTTCTGAATAGACTGCAAAAAAACCAGGAGTGCTCTACTGGAAGAGTAATCCCATTTTAGTATAGCTTGCTAATGCTGATGACTGCTGTTTGAGAACTTAAGTGTGCAACTTTGGGAATGTGTAACTTCGTATTTGCTGTACATTCTTTATCATCAGAGGGTAACTGGCTCCTTTTTTTGCATAGTTATATTTTGTTCTATGTACATTTGCTATTTAGTTTAAATTATCTTCCGAAGCTTTCAGCTAGCCTGTGAAACAGCAAAGATTACAACTGCTTTCAAATTTACAACTAAAGTTTCTGTGTTAATTTTATAGATATTTCTTTTAAGGAGGGACTGTAAAAATAATTACCTAATTTTTTTTCCTTTTGCTTTCCCAATTGTTTTTAATGGATCTTCCTCATAGAATGTCAGAAATGTATAATATGTTTTCTTACCTTGAAATTATTTAGAGCCATCACATTAGGAAAGTTTTAAAAATGTAAAACGCTTTATACTGTATATTTTTATGCTGTGTAAGATTTTTTTAAAAATTAGGTGGGTTTTTTTCTTGAAAGGATCTTTGAAAATAGGTGATAACTTACCTTTGGAATCTATTTTTAAGCTTTTTTTTCTTCAACTCAGTTCTCTATTATGCAATATTAATTGTGTATTTAACCTAATATGAATAGCAATGAATAGCAGCATAACTGTTGTTGTTATTATTATTCCCCAAAGTCTTACTATTGGAAGTTTTCTGAAAAGCACCTAATGCTCACCACAAAAGCCTGTTGTCGTTTGTATTGCCCTCTACCTTGTTTCTGGTGTAGGTCTTCAAAAGAAACTAAAATTTCGACAACCATGGGTACAAGGAATTTTTTCTATAATTTTCCCTTCCATCTGTGGAATCACCGAGTATTTCAAAGTAGCGGAAGAAAATGCTATTCCTGCTCCTTACTTTAAAAAGCATTGAAAAACTGGATAGTTTCATGCTTCCTCAGCTAGGTTCTTCCTAGCCTCTACATTATGCAGAGAGCATACAGGAGGGTTTTTTACCTTGAAACAGAATTGTGACATAGAGAAAATTTTGTAGAAATGTCCTTTGAGGTGCTCCATTAGATGTCTTGAAAACTTCTAAATTCATTTAGAGGTCAACTGATTGACTGAGTCCGCAACCCCACCTCCTGTTTCATCTTTCCTATCATCCAGCACACTCACCAGTGGGAAGAATAGCCAAGTTTGTAATTTCGGTCATGTTAGATGACAGAGGGTACCTTTCTAGCTCCTGCTGTTTGAAGAACGTTGTTCTGGAAATGCTAGCATTTTTCCATAGTGTAAAAACAACTTGGAGAGAAGATAGCATAAACGACATGCCTGCTTTTGTTCCCATTGTTTCTTCTCATTGCAGTGTGCACTTACTGTTATAAGTGGCTTTAGTTGTATCTATGAAAATAATACTTGTACAAAGAATGGGCTCAGCACGTTTGTGGCTCAGTTCTGATTTTTGTGCTCTGCATTGGCCTCTGGCTTGTGACTGCAATAATTCCACATATTTGTAGGGACTTGCATGTTTCAAGTTAATACTTTGTTTATGTTCCAGGTTTTCACCTTGAGGGTGTTAGAATCTAAAAAGATTCCAGATACATGTAATTTTGAAAGCCGTTCAATTTCATTTCGATCTGAATTGTTAGAAGTCATCAAGATTCTGGATTAGCTAACTACAATATTTCTATAGGAGGAAGATGCAGAAGTGGAAGGCATGCAATATAAGACGCTAAAAACATTTCATCATGGAATCCGAGTTGATGCCATAGCATGGAGTCCAGAAACCAGACTTGATGCTTCATCTCCCCAGTTAAGGTATTTATCATAAATGAGTACAGTGAATCCTCATTTCTTATCTGTTTTCCCTAATTCCTGAGCCTTGGGCTAAGGTTAAAGCTTATGGGTGAAATCCAACTCTTTAGAAATCACTGACGAAGTCTCTGAGCACTTCAGTAGAACATTTTCATTCTTAGAGTCAGTTGGTTTTTTGTTTAGTCTTTGTTGTTCTACTTCTTTTGCCCCTTGTCCCTCCCCGTAGTGAACTAGCAGTGAATAATTCTTTTTCCTTATTCATTATTTTAATTGACCTAAAATGTAGTTAGTTATTTCTTTGTACATCTGTGGAGAAGGAATTATTTTAAGAACTTTGCTAAGGAAGAGACTATTGTAATGGCCTGATTTTATAAAGCTGTTTGTAATGGTCTGCATAATAAGGGCTGTGTTTAGGAGTAGGTCAGATGCTATTTGTGAGACCCATTGAGGTATATATCTAGAAAGATAGTTAACTATTAAATATTCACTTAAGAATTAAATTGTTCTCAATAGCTTGTACTCCTGTTCAAAATTATGATGGTAGCTTGTAAGCCTGTTTAAAATTGTGATGGTTGCTTATTGCTGCATTTTTGTACAGTCTTCTGTTTAAAATATGTTAGAAATTGGTTTGTGAATTTATGTTTTGGTATTTTAAAACACTGATAATGAGGGTTCTTTTTTGTGATCTGCCACTTCACTTCTTCCAAGGGAAGTTTCAGTGAGAGCTATTTTAGGTAACTGATAGTTGATTCAGATATAGCTTTGAAAATGTTTTGCGTTTCTTTCCATGAATGCTTTCTTGGCACTTGATAGACACTATTTTATAGATAAGTTCCAATTATACTGCTTGTTGCAAAAGTAGAAAAATTAAGATAGAAGCTTTAGGTGTATTTTCAGAATCCGAATTTTGCTTCTCATGTTATTTTGCAGGTTTAAGCTGAAGGGAAACTGATAAATAGTCAACTACTGCAGTGTTAATTGACTGAAGGTCTTTTCTTTGTCTGTTGAGTGTAGGTTTTGTACTGCGGCTTCTGACAGGAAGTTAAGGCTATTTACTTCAGACCTGCAGGACAAGAATGAGTTTAAGGTAAGGGCAGCTAAGCTGATTTTTAAAAAATTATTTAGTCTTTAGTGAAGTTTAATCTTTAACTGCCCTTCTACCCCATCGCACTGAACTGTGACAGATCCTATATCCACTATCTCTAGGGAAAATCATTGCATTGTGTATACCTTTCTGTCTTTCAAGTGGGAATAACTGGAATTATAAGTTACATGATCTTTTGATTTAAAAGTACTTATGAAACAATTTAACCAAATTGAAGAAAAACTGGTAGAGGCTTATGGATCATCTAAAATACACTCAGAAACAGAATGTTCTACAGGTGAATTTCAAGTACCATGTTGGATAAAGTTCCTTTGTATAGAGACTTGTAAAATTTTCTGTGGTATTGGTTATTGGACTCCTCTATAAGAAGAGCAGATTTAGTATTTTCTCTTTCATGGGAAACTGGAAGTTGTAATTCAGCTCTTTCAAACGTTAGGAAATTTAAAGAACACTGAATTTAGTACGTAACTGCAGACAGGTGCACTAAACATGCCCATAGGCTGTCACTCGTTTATTTCTAAGATAGAAACAAAGGAAATGTCTACTTCTAATACAATTTGACTTCTCCTACTCTCAGTGTAGATGGTAGTGTTCTTAAAACAGTGATATAAATGAAGCCAGGTCTAAATACTGTGTTCGCTTTATAAGCTGAAAATTGGTTTTCTGGAGATTTCTCATGTTTGCAAGACATGTTAACTCCTATGTGACTTGGATATGTGCATATTCTTCAAAATTCTGCCTTTGAAACAGTGTCCCAGGCCAAATACTAATATTAATTAGATGCTTGTGCTAACCAGTTTGACTTTATTTGTTGAGGTCTCAGCCAAGAATAAGCAAGCCTACATAGTACTAAAACATCAGGGGAGAGGGTTCCTTTTTTAGTGCTATGGAATATGCTAATGCCGGTTCTGGTGAGAGTTGTGTATTGAGCATAAAGGAGAAAATAATGATAGGCTTTCATTTGTGGTTTGTTGTGCAGAAACTACTTAACTTATTAGTAACAGTGTAGATGAAGTATGGTTAATAAGTGGGAATAATCAAACATATGGATGAACCTGGTACTACAGGCTCTATTCAGCTAAATTCAGCATCTAAATTCTAATTTTTTTATTTATTTTGGATTAACAAGGGACCTGATGGACTGTTTGCTAAAATTAATGAGAAATCTTTTGACTTCAGTGGAAAGTTATAGTTCATAACTTTCATTCCTCTTCCTGTCCCTACATCATCCGATCCGTAGCAAAAGGTCCTCTTCTCTACTTTCCAGAGTAGATTTCATGTCTATGTCACCTTTCAGGCTCTCCACATTGATGTGGGATATAGCCTAGACTTAAAACTAGGAATTGCCAAGGGGATCTGCCATTTTGTTCATTCGGAACTAATTGCTTTCAGAGAAATAACTTCACACAAACACATCTTTGATAGCTCATAAGCTTAATCTTTTAATATACAAGTTCAAGTAAGCGAGTTTATTCTAATGAAGAATTCTAGTATGCTGTTTATTACTGAATTAGAATGAGATGACAAACAACACATTTTTAAAATAACATTAATTTTGAATATACCCAATGAGATAATTGTTTTCTAGCTCAGTGCATGATCTGTATTACAACCAGAGAAGCAAAGGGGGCAACTCAGTATCACAGTCTGCTGAGTGCTGTTTTTTCAGAATGGAATTGCTGTGATGGGTTATTATTTTCCCAGTTCTGACAAGAGTTTTTTTCTGGTATCAGACCAACACAAATGATACTTTAAAATATACACTTCTAATTTAGGGGAACTTATTATACAGTAGCTTTGACTAGATGCCTAGAAATAAATTTGAAATGCCACATTTACATTTCCATTAAGATTGCAATTATTTTTCATACAAAAAGGTTTGTTGGAGAACTCATTCATCTACCCCTAGAACTTCTTTCTACACAAAACACTCTGACTTGCAGTTACAAGCTTCTACTGCAAAAGTATGTTCATTGCATAACACATCAGAATAATTTTTTACGATAGGTAGTGAGTATAGAGACCCCAGAGCATTATTAATACAACAGGTATTGGACATTAGAACATGGTATTTTGGTTGAACAGTCACAGCTGTAAGTACTAGAAGATGTTATTTTGCCTCAGAAGGAAACAAGCAATTACAGTATCTTAATTACTCAACTCGAGTTGATATGAATAACCTTCTCCAGTGTCTAATGTAAACAGAAGGATCATAGAATTTTGTCAGCTGAAGATGTCATGGATGCTTCTTCATTTTTGGCACTACACAAGACTAAAGATCGTTTGGTGCTTATGCAATACAAATGAGAAGTGTTGGCTTGAATTTAATAATAAAAATTTTAGTTTTGTTTATGCCAGCTCCATCACTGGAATTAACAGTCTAAGAACTTCATTAAGGATGCATCGAGACTGAGAGAAAAGTAAAAATCCATATTGTTACTGAATCAGGCTTGGTATAATGTTAAATGTAATCAGAAAACAGCTAAAAATACTTAAAAATATGTAATAGGGGGGAACTCATTAATAAAAAGGAAGTATGCGGACTAGTGTGTTTATATTGGTAAAAATGTTTTCTTCTGGGTTTTTTAAGTTTTTTAAGAAAATACTTTCTCTGGGAAATCATCTTAATTATACCTGGACTATCATTGTACTATATACCCCTTGTCAAGAAAAAAGTAACACCTAACTGATTTAAAGTATTTGCAAAATCTCAGATGTTCACAAATACTTGGTGACCTATGCTGAGCTGGCTTTCAATCAAGTTTGATATGGTGGTTTCTTAGTAACAGTCAATTGGTACCTTAGAAAAGCTATTTCATAAACCTGCGGTTGAACTCATAAAAAACACATGGAAAACTTTGATCCATTGTATGGAGCACACTCTACACATGGGATTTTTAGGAGAGGTACAAAATGTGCAAACAAAGCTGAAGAAAGTATGTGATTACAGTCAAAATGTAATCTCTGAACATTTTGTCTTTAATAGTAAACAGTTAGTATGTGTTGCTTCTGGAGGGATACACGGAGTAATCTTACTCTGTTTTCCCAGTGGAAAAACTGTCTTGATGTAATTATCAACAAGGAACTTGAAGCATAGTGAGTTTTCCATTACTTTGTCAACACGAGTAATCCAAAATTTATTTGTTGGATCAAGCCCAGAACAACAAACAAAAGGTAAAATATGACTGATGGATCTTCATGAAATCTTTTTCTTCTTTTGAGGTTTTCATTTGGAAATGAATTGTGGCTTCCTTCTCCTGCTTCAAATTTTGTTTAATAAAAAGCATATTTCATCAGAACTGTGGAAGTAAAATAAGGCAGGATATTTGAATTCAGAATGCTGAAAATTTTCAAAAGACTTGGCATTTCTGTCTAAATAGTTTAGCATCATCTTAGGATGTATTAGTTCTAGTATAATCCACAAGGTTTTAATAAAATTATGAGCTATTGGAAAAAATTAAGTTGGCTGCTGAAGATGTTTCTGTATTGAATCGATGAGGCATTCATAAAATTTTTAGAGGAGGATTTAGTTATTGTGCATGCCTGAGACAACTTTTTTTATCAGTTCAGCGTTTGCTCCTCAGAATAGCTACAATTAGGGAACAGATAGTATGTTTTCCTTTCAGAAAACTGGTTGTTTTCATTTGACCATGTTTTCCTCTGCAATCTCTCCATGTCATCCTGTTATCCAGAGGATATTTTTGTCTCCTTTTTATGATACCTTGCTGGGCAAAACAAGAGCAGTTATGCCTTGAAACTTAATCAGTGGGACTGAAGAGGATGGAACAGTAACAGATGCAACATTTACACATGGACATTTGCCCGAGTTAAAGTTTTAAGTGAGATTTCTGTCAAAAAGACCATAGATGTAATTAACGAGAGAAAATATGGGTAAATCCTCAGATGGAGCAAACTGATATCTTCGCTAGCTACTGATTTTCTATGAGACCAGAGATTATTTATTCATACCTAGCCCCTAGAATGAATTTGAATGTACTTTAAACTTCAACTGGACCCTAAAAGAGATGAGTTTTGCATGCTTGCTTAACGCTAAGTGTGTATAAGTTTTCACTTAGGTTTTTGAGGATACTGTAAACCTCAAAAGATGACTGATGTTTGTAGATGAGTACAAAACACTTAATAGAATTGAGAATTCTTGGTATTATGGGCAAGATAGCTGAAAAACCTTTGAAATACATAAAAATTGTCTAACTTCTAATTTTTACTAAAACTGGAATTTTGCTTTTATTCAGAAAAACTATGCTGCTAAATTGTTTTTTTATATACAAATTATTCTCAGTACTTTGAAATATAATTGTCATGATTAAGAAGCTTCAGACGAGAACAAATACACGGTAACAAGGTTCCTTTTAAAATTATTTCATGCTTTCTGATACTGCTGTAAATGTTTGCTTTTGAATGACAGTTCACATGTACATTCACAACATGGGTGCTCATATCCTATGATTTGAGAATGGATGATCTATAAAATCACAGTGAAAGAAGAGTGTGCACTATACCCCATTTTCTTTCCTCTCCAGCACAACAGCATATAAAGCAGAGAGCACAAAGCACTGTGTCTGTTCTTCTCAAATGCTTAATAGAAATTGTGCTTAATTGCTACGGTGTCGTATGGCTTGCTTGGTTTTGCTTTTACTGTTGTTCCTCATTTTTGGTTTTCTTAAAGTCTTAAGTGTGCTCTGTCTTCTGTTTCATCTTCTTTCACTGAGAGTTTTTTCAGTGTTTTCTCAAGGTAGGCTTTTGGTCTGCCATCTTTAGTGGACATCTCCTTTTAGGCAATTTGTGTGCTGACTGCTTGGAAAAGGGCATATGATGAACAAATGGCTGGTTTATTGCTCCTTCAGGAAAAAATATCCCTTTCTGCTTGCAGGAACCCCTAGTAAAAACTACTATTCAGAGATAAGGGTTACTTACCAGTAATGAGAGTTCTTTAAGATATGTAGATCATGCGTACATTCACTTCCTGCACATTCTCCTCTTTTTCTCTGAGATTTATTATCTTCTACCTTCAAAATTAAGTGGTTGAAAGGATGATAAAAAGTTCTGGTGCAATTCAGTGATCTCTGTCAAGCAGGAGCATCAAGCTGACCTCTGTGGTAACCAGAACGAATAGTGGGGGGTCTTTTCACCTACAGTATGAATCTACACATGAATTAGCTATTTTGAAGAACTCCAGTTACTGATAAATACTTTTTTACCTTCCCTGTAAAATGATAGCTTTATCTTAACACACTTTTCTTTAGTGGAACTATTAAATACATTGATGGAACAGTCGGCTCTAAGGTAAAAGTATTTCTTTTTTCTGGTTGACAGACATTTGATGGCCACTCAGATTACATTAATGATTTGGTGTTTGCTCCCAAAGAAGGTCAAGAAGTTGCAAGTGTAAGTGATGATCACACCTGCAGGTATGCATTTTGTTTAAAACATCATTGAAATAGCAGTGTTTAGTTTTTTCTCTGTGTGTATGCTTCATATGTTTGCTTAAATAAATAAGCATTTATTTATTTATTTATTTTTAGTGGGCCTTCATAGCCCACTAACAAGGCAAGTGGACTACTCTTGTTAACGAAGTTGGGGAGTGGCTTTTTGTTGCGACTTGTGGGTTGTTTTTTTTCAAAGCAATATTTTGAACTAACTAGATAAAATGTGAAGAAAACTCTTCTGTCCTGGAATTACGTACACTATAATTTCCTCTGCTGAGACAGGAATAAAAGGCATGAGAACAGGAGAGAGAAGACATGCGTAAGCTCATCACTGGACTATACAGACCCTCTCTATCCATTCTGTCATCAGATGAGTCAAGTTTAAAACCAGTGTATGTATTTAGTTACTTGTAACTTGAAGTAAAAGGGAAACTTGGTTAAACACTTTGAAAAAAAAAAAAAAAACCAAACAAAAAAACCAAACAAAAAACAACAAAAGGCTGGTTAAGGTTTTGTACTACAGGAATTTTTCCTCGTCAAAAGGTCCCCTATCCCCATCTTCTAGTAGTGCATGTGAATCTATAAAGCTGCTATTCCTGTTCCCCCAAAGCAGCTCACAGGTGGAGAGATCAGGAGGGCAGCTGTGCAGGTCCTTGCAGTAGCAGCAAGTCCTTGCAGTAGCAGCAAGAGACTTGAGAAAGCATCATCTTTGACTTTGTAAGAGCTGTGATAATTCAAAACTTGTCTCAATTAAGTTAGTTTTAGTTTTATCTCTGATTATGAAATATATATTTTCTCTTTGAAGAATATCAGTTCTTCATATCAAAACCATATCAATTCCTATTAAAATGACCAGGTAATATTCATGGGAAACAGAAGTCATTTTGTTATTTTTTTCACTTAAGCCATTTTCTACCTGGCTAAGAGAGAAGGGAATAGCTCTGAGAATGGTTACTCTGTGTATGAGATTTTGTAAAGGGTAGATCATCAGCTGGTATAAATCACAGCTTAGTCGCTTTAATTGAACTACTCTCTCCTACATAAATAGAAAATCTAAAAGGCCTGTCATTTTAACACCCCTAGGGAACTCAGAAATACTACTTTGACCAGCAGGCAGATTTTCCATAGACACCCTGTCCATATTCCCAATAAAATCACTAGAAAGGAATAGTAGAAATGTATGACTTATTCGTAGCTTGTTTTAATTTATTTCCTATCCTTGATTTCTTCATTAAATATAAACTAATATTGGCCTTATTCAGCAAAGAGCTGTTTCAGTGTGTTGCCTTTTTTTGTTTATTTTATGAAATGCTTAGTCTTCCTGGGATGAGAGAGAGCTGTTTTAAAAACAGTAGTCTAATTGATACTAAATTGAAAGGAAATAAAAATGATATAATTAATGCATACTATCAAGATTTCAACTTAGTAACTCTGAAAGACATTTTATGCAGCAATCCATAAAGGCTTTGGTTAAAAGCCATAGGAAATAAGTAGGATTTTTTTTGGCTACTTGAGTTCTTATTTTTTCCATTCATGCATGTGGAGCATGAAGACTTTTTTTATTGAATTTAAAGGTTACACTTTCAAAACTAATGGAAAATACATTCCCTGGGACTTACCAAAATCATTCCTTACTTACTGTGTAATTTGCTTCAGCAGTAATGTAAGAAGAGGAATAATTCTTCTGTCTGTACTGAGTTTCTATCCTGAAATTGTTCTTCGGATACATCATCTGTTCATACCTTTGGAATAAAGTTCTAGAACAATTAGTACAAGAACATGGAGTTTTGAGTATTTTGGTATTGTTCTGTTAAGAACTTTTAAATCTTAATAATGTCTTAATACAATGTCTCAGTATTGGCAGAATATACACAAGCATGTTTAAATCTTCCCTGGTTTTCACTCAGTAGCAAGTTTAGCAGAGATCTCAAAGGAACCCAAATTTTCAGTTTTCATGCGCTAAACAATCTTGCCACAAGCTGCTGCAACAGTGGTATCTCAAAGCTTGGTTCAGTCGTTTTGGGTGGAAGACAGACAGTCTAAGTCAGATACTGGTTGAAGAGGCTGTGATGATTCAATATTTTTACCTTTAGATTGCTGTTATGTCATTGAGGAATTCTTGTTTCTTGCACATAGTCTTTGTTGGCCTTGCTGGTGGTACAACACAAGACTTTTTCCCAGCTGTGAAGTAGAACTGATTTTAAAATACTCTTGCGTAACAGTAATTCAGTATCCATCTATGTTTTGTAGTAGTGAATAAAAGTGTTGTGTGCATAAAAGTCTTGTGTGCATTCGTAGACAAGTGGTGTTGGTATGTAAATATGCTGTATGCTTTTGTAATCTTTCGTTTCTCTGCACTTAATCTCAAAACTAATATAACCTTAAAAAGAATTGCTCTTCTGAAAGAAAAGACGTTTGGAAGACTCTTAAAACCCACCATGTTGCAGTTACTCACAACTGTATTTTTATTAAAGATCAAAATTCCTGTAGCTAAAATGGCATCTGCAAAGCTGATTGAAAAACTCAAGCCCTGGGTCCTAAATATCATATATTATTCCTTCATTTTGTCCCAAGGATCTCTATGTTACAAGATGGATGAAGCTGTTCACAAGCATATAGTTAATTTATATCTTTGGCAGGATATTGTATTTTCAAATTATGTTTATTTTATACTGTAATACATAGTAAACTAATATTGAGGAACTCACAAGATAGTTTCCTGTATTTCACATTTTTATTCATTTTGTAATTGCTTTACCCTCTTAAAAAATAGAAATAAAATTATTTTTGAAGTTTGATTGCGAAATTTAAAGAAAATGGTAAAACACTGGCAGAGGAAATTGCTAAAATAACTACTGTTATATTAAAAATTGAATTGGTTTTATTTAAAAGTCATATGTGTTAACATATTGTGTATAACTGAACACAAGTAAGGATCTTGTGTATACATAAATAAAATCAAATGTAGGATATTTATACATTTCTGCTGAAAGGCAAACTTGGACAGAAGAGAAAATTACCTCTTGGATTAAATCTGTTTTCCTTCAAATCTAGTTGTTTTTTCTTCAGAATCTTTCCTATGTCAGTTTCAACATTCTATGTAATATTTATGTCCATTTAAAGTACTTTGCTCATCCATTTCTTGGTAAAAGAGCATTTTTAATGAATAAGACAAAATCTTTTATGATAGCTTTAAGGAATATTTCATTTAATTCCTTAAAATGTTGAAGTGTTATACACTTTGAATATTTGCATTCCGTGTAGGAACTCACGTATCCCACTTTGCTAATGAGAACTGTGTCTGCAGCTCCCTGTGCACCACTATTAAGGAAAAAAAAAATACTGCCTTTTTTTTTGTTATGATTTGGAAACACATAGGAAGCTGCAGGGATTCAAATGTACAAATCATTTTGTTCTGATACTTAATGAAGCTTCTGCAAAAAGAACATAGGAAATGTTTGGAAAACAGCACAAGCTTAACAGACACCCCTCCAGTGTTGGTAGTTTTTGACAATATCTGATGTTTCTCGAAGTATTTCATGCAAAATACCATCCTGGTAAAAAACACTAGTCTTATATGCATGCTAAAAATTAACCTCTGACTGCTAAAAGACTAATGTATCTGATTGATAAACATCTCGTGCTTCATCCTGATATTGAACTGAAAGATTACTGAGAGCGTAAGGCCCTTTAAAATGGCAGCGTGACAATTTCTTCAAGAATCTTGATTCTTTCAAATCCTCAATTGCTGGATTGGCTTTCATTTTTAAAAGCTGAAAAGGACCTTTTTTATTTATGCTTTAAAGTACATCATCTTCCTCTCTGTGTGCAATAGAAAAGAATGTACAGTTGACTTATCTCCCACTTTATCTGTGAATGTTTTTGCCCTTTGGTTCCTTTCTGAGTTCTCTTCAGTTACTTACGCTGTGGCTCACGTTGCTTCATAGAGAAGGACCTTGTGAATTTATGTATCAGTCACAGTCAAGTTCAGCCTTCTCTGTTGTACATACAACAAATGCCAGTCCATCAGAAGGTTAGTTTTGCTCCCCGGACAAGAGATTCGGGGGAAGGGTTTGATATAACTAGAGTCTCACAATTTATTGTAGTGTTTCATCTGGTTTTAGGTTTTTTTAATCTGTAGTGTATTTGTTTCCATGGTACTCTTATTTCTTAGTTATTCTGTGCAGGTCTTTCTCTAGACAGTAAGAAGAAAAGCCAATGTTTTTCTGTGTCTTGTCTTCTTTAATGTGTTGCCAGCATTTGTTGCACTTGAGTCTTACCTTGTTAATTCACTAAATATTTCAGTCTTTGGCTATATTGAAAAGTTGCCATTCTCACTTACTCCTGCCTCCAGAATCCTATTTTATTTGTATCTTCTCATTCCTAGTGCACTCAATTACAGGGTTTTGCCAACATTTTTAAGAAAGGTATCTTATTTCATGTTGTTCTATCTTCATCTGTTTGTTGTGAGAGAATTCCCCAGTGTCTCTTCATATAAGAAAAGTCATACCAAAATATTTATCCTTTCTGAGGTATGCTGATCATAATTATCAAGCTAGTTATGCGTTATAATAGATGAAAATAAAGGAGTGTCTTGGATTGTTTGTAAGAGTCTAGTCTTCGACTGGACAAATTTCTCATGCTTTTTGTCTGCACGTCTGTATGTTCCCCAAATGTAGTCTTACACAATTTCTGTTATAATAACCAACAACTTCTGTTGTACTTCAAAATCACTATGCAAGTATTAACTGGCCTTCTGTCACAGTACCCAGTCAGCTTTAAATAAATAAATAAATGAATAAATCACTTTCCAAATGTTTGGAACATTACTTCAGTCTGGTCTTCAGCGTGGATGAATAAGCCTTTAGTTAGGAAGTCTTCAAAATATGCAGATGAAATGGTAGCCATTTCCTGTGTGACGTATTATGACTTAAGGGTCACGTAGTCCTAGAAAGTAGTCTAGCCTATAAATTGTTCCAAATAGAAGTCACTGCATTAGACTTAGTTAGCAGTTACCTTGTATTTTAGAAACTGATTGGCAGAATTGTAATTGAGTTATCTCAGTAACAGTCATCCCACAGAAGGAGTTAGTTTTATGTCTACATTGGAAACAATAAGCTGATAACTCTAACAGCTAATTTGTCTTTGGTTGAAATGATACAACTGAAGCTTCACATTTGTGCAAAATTACTGCTTAGTCTGTGGCTTTGCTTTAGATAACTTTAAGGGTATTACAGTAGTAGTCTGATTTCTTGGACTTAGATTTCTGAGCATACATGTCCTGAAATTCATGCTAGCAGAGAACAGTCAGTTGAGCCACTTGAGATAGTACATGTGCAGCTCCTCCTACTTCTGCCAACACTGTAGGGGATAATTGGAATTACATCCTACACTTATCAGTGAAAAATAGATGAATGCTTGTATATCCAAGTAGATACTACAAGAAGCTAGATGTAACATGGATTTTAATGCCAAAATTTGAAAGATTCCAAGTACTAATTCTTTAATCATGGAATAATGATATTGACACTTCCTTTGGCTGCCAAAAGAAACACGTTAACTTTTTGAAAGAGTATTTACGCATTTACTCTACAAAAAGACTTTTATTTCATGAATTAAAAAGTACTGGAAATGCTCTCCAGTCACAAATTTAGGATCCTGTCTGCCGAGTCAGGAGATAGTTGAAGATGGTTGTGCCTGGTGGACTAGTGCTAAGCAGCACACATTAATTTCTCCCTTCTCCTCATGAAACCTTTGTTTCTGCACAGTTCTTCTCTTCTGGCTTGTTCTGCAGAGTGTGGCAAATTGGGAGTTCTGCTGTCTAATTCTGCCTCAGATTCTGCAGCAGTGAACTGCTGGGCAGTGCATTACCTGATTTATAAAAAAAAAAAAATGACATAAATTAATATTAACACCTCTCTCCTTCTGAACAGCTAGAGGGGATTTCTACAGTTGCACTTCAGCCTTCTGTTCTTTCATGTCCTACCTAGTATCCTCTTCCGATCTTTGATAACCACCTCCATATGGAGTTGGCAGAAGACCTTAGACAAGGCCAGAGTTGGTTTTATTCTCCACAGTGTTAACTAATCTCTGTGTTTCCATTCTCCTTTTCTGAGATCTTTCTCTCCTCACTCCTTGTGTTCAGTGAGGAACAACTTCACTCTACTTCTGTTGTGTGATCCCTGTAACAGGAATCTCTCACTTCTTCATAGTCCTTGAGGCTTTTCAGGTGTGATAGGATTTTCCTTGCAAGTGGAATATGTCTGATGGACATAAAAAGAAATGTCAGCAAGGGATATTTAAGTTAGATATTATTTTAAAAACAAACAAACAAAAAAAACCAAAAAGAAGACATGTTGGGGTGTTGGGCATTTTTAAGAGTAGGTTAGTAATCTCTGAATAATGGTCCACATACAGTGGATCATGCTTTGTGTATCAGATGTCAAGTTTTGCTCTAGCCCGACCCCACTCACCAAAATAGTTGGAAATCTTATGTTTAAAGAATTCCCTGTTTTACTTCCATCTTCTGGGTATTTGAGAAATGCCTGAAGGTTGCAATATGGTAATGTTCTTTTGCTGTTGCAAATTATGGGTTTTATTCAGTTATTCAGGCTTGGGTTTGTTCTCCAGTTAGAATTATTCAAAACTCACAAAGTTAGAATATAAAATAAGGAACATCTCCATTGCCACGAGACAGGTTTTCAGATGTTCTAATGAATACTTTGCCAACCTTAATAAAAGTCCATTGTGTGCTAAAATTACTGTACACATGCAGCATGTCATTATGCATACGACATACAATGTAGTTGCTCCAACATAGCTTGAATGTCTTCGTGCGTTGAGATAACTGCAGTTGTCATTTATTTGTTTAATCATAGGATATGTGCGACAAAAGAAATATACTAATATCTCATGATTTTCTTTAACAGCATTTGCAACTATCTGTATTTTGAGTTAGTTTAAATTCTGAGTACTACAGCATATAATTTCTCAGTTCTTAGTTACTTTAGAAAAATTGTGAATATACTAAGAAGATTACATATTGCTTTTGAGGCCTTCCATTATTTGAACTTTGGCCCTTATTTCAGCTGTGGTTATTCAAACTTTTATCCTTTAAATTTATTGTGGAAGCTTTTTTAAATATAAAAAAAAAATACCACTAGCCCAGTAGCAAGTCTAAATAACAATAGTTGGTGGGGGGAGGAGGAGAAGTAAGAGGAGTGACACATTGTGGGGTTTTTGAAGAAAAGTCGATACTAGTTTGCTTTGGTATAAAATCATGGTGATATTAGTAAAGTTTCAAGGGCTTTGAATGGGAGACAAAGTGCTCAGTCTTTTTGGATTGATTTACATGATAGGAACGCAGACAAAACTTGAGGGCTTTTTTTTTTAGCATCTGTAGCTGATTTGGTTATGATTACTAAGTAATTGAGTAACTGAAATTCAGTTTGGCTAAATTTTTGGTCTTTACACATTTCTTACTTGGGTTAGTCACAAAGAAATATTGAAAAGAGTTAATTGAACACATACGGAATTGTAAACTTCCATACCAGCATGGACTTGATCCATTCAGGCAAGGATCTGTTTTGATATGTATTGCCTGGTTTGGGTTTGGTGGTTTTTTTTCAAAACTAAATCATACCATCTTTATTATCAAGAAAGAAAGAAGAAAATACAGGAGGGGCATTTATCCTTTTTTCCCCCCTCCCATACTGTTTGTTACTAACAATCTTGCCATTCTTACAAAGCAAGAGATGCAAGTTGGGCATTTTATAAATAACAAAGTTAGGGAGGTAGAAAGCATAAATTTCCGTCTCAACACCTAATAACCTCACTCACTTCAGGGAAAGAAACACGATGGCATGCTCCTTTAGCCAAAATGATTCACCGTCTTCTATTATATCATAATTTTCTCCCTGCACAGTAAATACACATGGAGAGTGTTGATTTGACTTGGACAAATCTACAAGGCAAAATTTTTGGCAGTAGAAGAAAGTATTGTATGTTTCTAAATTACCTAATCAAGTAGATATTTCATTTTTTAAACGGTTGTCAGGTTTTTGTTTTGACTTTTTTTAATAAGGACACTGATCCTTCAAGATTAGAGACCCTGTGTTTTCTACAGGGAAAACAAATATTTGATCTGTTGTGGTTTGGCATAAGAAAACAACGTTGTTCATTAAACATATTTACTTTATTCCCATATATTTTGTCTAGACTTATGATGTATTATTTAAGAGTTTTTTGAAATCTCTTAAATATAAGGCTCTAAGCACCCTGGTGAGATATAAACTGAAAAAGTCTGGAGGAAGTCAGCAAAAATCCTCTAGAATAAACAATACTAGTACATAGCCACTCATAGAACTCAAAAGACTGGGCAGAACACTACTTAAAAAATTGGCTGTTTCTAAGGTTTTGCGTGTCAGGGACGAAGGATATATGTGTATGTTTTGGTGTGAAAATGCATATAAATAGTATGCAGTCTTGTGGTTGAGACTGATCTTCACAACTGTGATGTCTTTGTCCTGCAACTGAGCTACTGATCTTGTAAGAAAAGAGGCAGTTGAGCAGTGGCTGTGAGGTAAAATAGTCTCAGTTTTGGTTTTGTTGCATTTTATAAACGAAGTAGCTTCATGGCTCATTAACACTCATGTCGAATGCATCCAAAGAAAACTCACTCATCACCTAACCTACTTTTGGTGTTTCAGCATACACTTCCCTGTCAGTCCATATTGATCAAATATTGTTGATTCTTTAAATATTTTTTTTAACTGCTTGATATGTACTGTAGGTGCTTCTACAGGAGAAGATTGAACTGTCACATGTGATTTCTTTGTTGAAAGCTTGCCAAAACCCTTTGTGGGCTAGAGTTACCTCTGCCATAGATCCTTTTGTTTGCCTTAGCTTCATTTTTAGTTCTTATATCTCCATTACTCAATCTTGTCTTACTAGGAAAAAATGGAAATTCATATATTAGACAAGCAAAGTACTTCAGAGCATGGTCTTACCTTTTACATGGTAACGTGGATGATTTAAGTTGCTTCCTTATCAGTGAGACCAACACTGATCTTCCTGCTTTGTATTCTCTCACTGTTATTTATGGTATAGTACAAAGGCTGTAGTATTGACTTATGAATAAAGTGGGAACCTATCATCTAGACTTCATGTCTTGACAATTAAACTTGTCAAGTTATTTGGATACTGCCCTTTTAAACTGCCTAATTAACAATGTTAAAATGCATTATCTGCAGCACTGACCGCTGTTACTGACTTGAAATGATAAAGCATGAACACTAATTTAGTCACTTCCTTTGTCAATATATTGAGGCGCTGAAAGTTCATGTATTTTCAGTGAAACGGCAATACATTTAATACTATGTGGGGGTTTTATTGTTTGTTTTTTGCTTTAGAGTCTGGGATTTGGAAGGAAATGAGAAGGCCCATTTTGTCTTACGTTCTCCTGGAATGAGTGTTTGCTGGCATCCTGAGGAGGATTTTAAGGTTGTGTTTTCCAGCTCTTCATGCTCACCACCTTTAAAATAACAGGATGGTAGACTTTTCTAAACTCTGAATCTCAGATGCTATAGGAAGATTTAAGTTTGGGGAGCTAGTGTACATTGTAACTCATTACTGGTTGGATCTGCTAACATGAAATCACTGTAAATTAATTCTCATTCTCAACATTTTACCTTCAGTTCTTTGCTCCTCCTATCAGAAATATTCATGATTACATACATCAGTTGTTGCTAATAACTATTCTGCTGATTGCATATTAACTTACAGTTACCAGAGAAAAGTTCCAAGATTTTGTCAGTCACGGTAACACGGTTCACCAATAACATAGACTCTTACAAAGCATGCCAAGTTTTGAAAAGAATCTTTTTGAAGTTAGCAAGGGACTTTTTGTTGTTGTTCTTGCTTGGAATATATGAAATATGTGCTGAAAAATCAAAACAAATCAATAAGCTGTGATTTTTTACTTATCTGTTTATTGTACTGGGGAGGATTAACCAGCTGATAAAAACCAAAATATTCAGCCTCATTAATGGTCTAGTTCTTGCAGTCTTGGGTTTATTATTCCTGTTGTGCCAATCAGTAACTGCCTTACGCAGCTACAAGTAGTTGTTCCATTTGCCACAAAAACACACACTAAGACAGAGAAAAGAAGTCAAATAAGGTATCAAAATATTTACATAGCAATAGGGAAGAAGGATCTCTATTCTCACCACACTTTCCACCAATATCAATATCCGGTCCTTACTAAGAAAACTAGGAAAACTGTTGATTCAGGTGGTATCACAACTGAATGTGTTTGCTACTTTTGCTACTGGGCAATTTTGTTAGCACAACAAATTTACTAGATTAGCCTAAAAATACTGCAATATTACACCAGCCTTGTATATTAGCCTGTCTTTTATTTGACCCTTATCAAAGAGTAGGCAGAGGTTTGGGTTTTTTTGTAAAGAAAAACCCCTTCAAGAAGCTAGTAACACTTGACAGATTGACAGTTTCTGAAAAGCTTATTGCAGGTCAAAATGCTTACTGCAGCATGTCCTGTAGTTTACAGATGAGAATGTTTTGGTGACAGCTTTCCTTTTTTTAAACAAACTTGGATGTTATTGGAGTATTGTTTTTAATAGTTCTTTGCCTGCTTAATTATTGTTCATGACTATCTGAGAACCATTATCTCCTCATGGAGAAAAGCTCTTTCATCATTTAACCAGAAAGCTCTTTCTACAATACTTAATAAACACCTACTCAAATATATTACTTTAATAGAAAAAGTTTAGATAAAATGTGTGCAAACTGTTATAGGATGAAGCAAGAGAGGGTATATAAATTCAGTAAGTGTGAATCCAGATTTTACAGTTAAAAAGATCAATACTGTTGTTTTCCTTGTACAGCACTATGTCAGTCAGTTCTTCGTAGTCAGAACAGAAACTTCTTGATTTTCAAAGAATAACATTTTGCTTTACAATTCTAAAAGCACATGCATGGTTAAGAAGTGGTGCTTCTCAGCACCAAAATTATAGACGTAGATATCTGAAGATATATATAGATAAAATCATGTAATCACTATGTAATCACTGGGCAACCTGTTCCAGTGTTTCACCACCCTCAATTAAAAAAAAAATAATATTCCTTATATCTAGTCTAAATCTACCCTCTTTTAGTTTAAAACCATTACCTGTTGCAACAGGCCCTGCTAAAAAGTTTCTCCCCATCTTCCTTATAAGCCCTCTTTAAGTACTGAAAGGCCACAATAAGGTCTCCCTGGAGCCCTCCTTCTCCAGGCTGAACAACCCCAACTCTCTCAGCCTGTCCTCATAGGAGAGGTGCTCCAGCCCACTCATCTTTGTGGCCCTCTCCTCTGGACTCAGTCCAACAGGCCCTTGTCCTTCTCATGTTGGGGGCTCCAGAGCTGGACACGGTAACTCCAGGTGGGGTCTCACCAGAGCAGAGCAGAGGGGCAGAATGACCTCCCTCAACCTGCTGGCCATGCTTCTTTTGAGGCAGCCCAGAACACGGTTGGCTTTCTGGGGTGCATCTGTGCATTGCTGGTTCACGTCCAGCTTTTCAACCACCAGTACCCCCAAGTCCTTCTCAGCAGGGCTGCTCTCAATCCCTTTATCTCCCAGCCTGTACTGAGACTAGGGATTGCCACAACCCAGGTGCAGGAGCTTGTACTTGGCCTTGTTAAACCTCATGAGGTTCACATGGGCCGGCTTCTTGAACTTGTCCAGGTCCCCCTGGATGGCATCCCATTCCTCATGTGTGTCAACCACGCCACTCAGCTTGGTGTCATCTACAAACTCTCTGAGGGTGCACTTGATGAAGGCATTAAACAGTACTGATAAAAACAAGATTCATTGCATGCTAAGTTTACCATGTTCTATTGATTTCTTTTAACAGCTGATGGTAGCAGAGAAGAATGGAACAATACGATTCTATGATCTAATTACACAGCAGGCCATTCTCTCCCTAGAGTGTGAGCAGACGCCACTGATGTCAGCAGACTGGTGTTTAAAAAATAACCTTAAAATTGGAGCAGTTGCTGGAAATGATTGGCTAATCTGGGATATCACTCGCTCCAGGTATTTTTATACAGGAGATAGCTTGCTTTATTCTTTAAAGCAGTACACGAGGAGATGTGACTACTTTGCTAATACAGCACTTAAATGCACTATGCGTTACATCACCTATTCAGTAAATAAATTAACAGTCATCAGGAATTATGAAATCAATACAGATCATTCTCTGGCATTTTTTATTTATCTTTATCTGTCAGTGTGTATCTGTTAAAAGTAACATTGTCCGAGGCAGTACCTCACTACTGCTTACCTTTAACTGTAAGTTCCATGTGTTTGTTAATTTCATTCTAACTCATAAATACATAATTATTGAACAATAATAACGTGGATAACTACTTCACTTTTCCTACTGCAAATTGAGATGTAATCTGAAGGAATGCTCTGGTTTTCCCTTAGTTCCTTCATAGAGAGTAGACAATGTGTCCCCTTCACTGTTTAAATGATACATGCTTTTGGTACTTACTGTATGAGATGTAGTTGTTTGCAGAACAGTTTTTTTACCCTGAATGTCTGTTGTAGTTACCCACAGGATAAGAGACCCGTCCATGCTGATCGAGCCAGATTATTCAGGTATAAATGTTGTCTCTATTCTGTGGGTTTTGTCTATCTAAATCTATGTATGTGCAAGCAGTTGGGAATTCAGGGACCTGGTTGTGTGTCATTTACATAATTTTTAGGGGGACCTGGTCTATAAACTTTGCCAAATCTGTGAATCACCTACATTTAGTATATATGTGTAGCAGTCCCATGGTGGTTTTTTTCTGTTTTACAATGACATGTATTTGGGGCTGTGAGTGGTGAATCATTTACAAGCTGTTTCTCTAAATTTATTTCTCTGGTGTCAGTGGAATATCTGACAGCTTAACACAGTTAACCACAGGGGAGAGACCTCCACTTTGTCTGCACTTCTGATAGTCTGATGGGGATATTTGAAAAGTACATTCATTTTATTAATAGGTGGTCCCGAGTGAATGAAAATCTATTTGCAACCACTGGATATCCAGGAAAGACAACTACTCAATTGCTTGTTCATCATTTAGGACATCCCCAGGTAAATTTTTGAGTTCAGCTTTTGACTGCAATTGCATCTGTTCTCTTCAAATCAGGCTCATAAATAGTTAAAAGCTACAATTAAAAACTAGCCCAAATCGTCCAGAAATGCCACTTGGTCTACCTATTTTATTTTGGTTTGTGTCATCCATGCTAAGTTAGAAAAAAAAATAACACCACACTTAACCTGCTATTTTTAAAGTTGCTTGACCTATGTTTTATTTTGCTTTCCTTATCGGTGCTAAGGGGGAGAAAACCACATTTAACCTGTTATTTAATACATTTTTCAGTATTCCTAATTCTAAAGAAGCTGCAAACAGCTGGTTGTGTCTTTTACAGGTTTGAACTAATTAAATTTGAAATCATTAGTGAAAATATATCCAGAGCCAATGAACACAAAGCCTAAGAAATATTTTGGGTTTGCTGGAGTTAGTATACATCTGTAATGCTTACAGTAAAAATATTACCTCCAAACATACTAGTTTTGATAAGCTTAAATAACAAGAAATAATTTCATTTAAAAAGATTTTGAAGTTTGAAAGTATTCCTTTAAAACAATAATAATAATAATGAAAATAGTTGAAACAATTTGCTATCATGGAATATTTTGCTGTATCTTACTTAAATGTACTAAGTAGATACTGGAACTAAGTAGCAGGTAATGAGATTTTTCAGTTGGATTTCTGTTGTATTTTGACTGCATTTGTTAAGGAATCCTAAATCCATGGTGGTTTTTTTGTCCATGCAACTTGGTATATGTGGTATAGAAATCATTTATATGGTAAGTTGTATTGATATTTCTCTCTCTCTGTTTTTTTTTTTTTTTAAAGCCCATTCTTACTGGTACCGCAGCTGTAGGATCTGGTCTGACATGGCATAGAACTCTTCCATTATGTGCAGTTGGAGGAGATCATAAAATTTTCTTCTGGGTAACTGAAATGTAAAACAACCATTTGTGTTCCGTATGAAACTTTACAGCATAATGTCTCTTTTCTAATAAAACGAAAGAATTTACTCTTTGTACTGGTATTCATTCACTTGGAGAACTTTAAAAAGGAACAAGTAAAAGATGAAACATTTGTGTTTGATTTTTAGCTTGCAAATACAAGAGCTTTTGTAAAATTGGTTATCAAACATCTTATACTTGGTTACTTCCCTTAAAATAAAGTGCACACTTTTTTTAACATGGTTATTGGTGGGAAATTAGTTTTTGCAAATGTTTTTTTAAAGGAGATTTTGTATCTAGCAGTCTCAGTCTGGCAATCTCACTCAGTTTACATGGCTCAAAAACCTTGAAATCATCCAGAGCACCTACAGAAGCAGCACCTGTCTCTGTATATTAACATTTAAAGCATGTTTCTCTAATTGATAACTGCTAAGGGTTTAAGTAATTCTGGGATACGGACTAATTAAAAAATTTTTAAAAATAAATCATTCTAATGCCAAAGAAAAAAAAAATACCTGCAGATAAGCAAACGAAGTTGAACTTTTACTGACTGCATTTGTAGATTTACATGAGTCACCAACAAATTGCTCGCCACCTGTTCCAAGATACTATAATGCTTGGGTTGTATTTATCAATGTAAAATACTTATAGAAAAATTTTATAGTAACTAAATTAATAATACTATAACCCTAGAAGGTGTTTTTAACCTCTTAGGATTGTCATACATTCTTCAAATTGAATTTGTTTGCTCTGTTCTAAACAAGAAAGACTTTTTGTGTGTTACTGTAATTCTCTGCATTAGCATTCTCACTATTCTTTAATATTGCCACCAACCAACCAACCAAAAAAGCAATAATTAGCATAGATTGTGATTTTTTATTTTTGTAGCTGATAATATCCCTGTCTCCATAAACTGTGACATAATTGGACAATTCCAAACTATTTGGAAGATTTTTTTACTTTCTCCAGAGGGGTTACCATCTGCTGCAGCTTGATCTCCAGTTGTCCTTACTAAGGAAACAAACCCTGAAATTATCACAGAATTTATTTCTGCTAATTTAATCCCAAATTAAAACATCTTCTATAGATAGAAATTGGAGGAGTCCAAAATACTGAAATCAGAAAGACTGCTCATTCTTCTTGGCTTTCAATGAAAGAGGCAATTATTAAAGCGATATTTGAAATCCTTGAACAGAAAGCAAGGAAATTATTAAATGCAGTAGCTGGATGTCACAAAGACAGGGTAAGTAATGTTGGTGTAAGGGTATCCAACAGACTTAAATGAGGATAAATATTTTTGGTATTACAGTAGTGTCTAGCTGGAATCAATTGCATGCAACATTTTGACCCCCTTTTTTTCCGAATCATTTACCCACCCATATACAGTGCAACCAAAACAGATTTAATAACAAAAAAAGAAGAAAACCTTATAAAACCCTTCTGGGTATCCCTGCTGGCGATAAGAAAACATCGAAAGTGCAGAACAAGCAGAGTAGCACTGAAAAGTTGATAAAAGTGCAAGTGGGTCTCCAAAGTTAGTAACTATTTAGCACGCACCCAAGAATCATGCAGCAGTTTTCTCACTGTCTTTGCCATGGTGTTTTCTGTTGACAGTCTTTGGTGGTACAGGCTGGGAGGGAATGGTTTGCATTTGACTGTGCCACTTCATGGAGCACCTCATGGCTTGTCTTAACGCTGGAGTTCTCCAGTGCTGGCCCAGTTGGATTTATCCTGTAGTACTTTGTGGGGGACTGTACTTACAAGCAGTGGTCCTGGAGCAAGAGCTGGGAGCTGCATCTTCCCAAATAGCATCGTCATGCCTTTGGTATCATCTTCTTGATTCACCTTTGATCATGTTCCAACATAGCCTTTTATCTCTGTCCAGTTAGTCATTAATTTTGAGCCGAAATACCACACTGCATTTCACCTGAGCTTTTCCCTTACCCGTGTATATCTTTTTTCCCTGAGACTTCTGGGAAGATAGATCTGTCTTCCTCCCTCAGAACTGGAAGGAATTCTGGAGTGAAAAGAAACAATGTGTTATTTTTTTGATCATAGCGTAAGACGTAAAAATCAGCCTCCTTTTTTTTTTCATGACAGAGCTGAATACTTTAAAAATGTTTTCATTCGATCTTTATGGGTCTCAGAAGTTTCTGATCATTTTCTTGGCCAAAACCTATGCAGAGATTGCATGCTAAAGCCATCTCAAAATGCTGTGTTGTAAAGTGGAAGTGGTGGTGATCGTAGCAAAATTCTTATTTCAATATTTTTAAATTAATACAGGATGCCCTGGTCTGATACTTGCTGAAAATTTCAGACTGCTTATTCCTATGATATTGATGGAATTTTGACTACATTTGGCTTCATCTAACAGATACGAATGACTAGGACCCCACCTTTCTCTAGCTGCTGTGCCATAGCTCATACAACAAAAGGTCCCTTTCATGGGAGGCCTCCAGCTCCTCGTTGCTGTTTGAACTTGCCCTCTGTTCTGTTAAAATCTCCGTGTTCAATACAGGTGAGTGTAACGTGTACGGACAGGTTATTTCTAGGTGAAATGTGTTATTTGTTCTTTAAATTACTATTTCCCTCCAGAAGGCTGGCTATTTGATGCAGAACCCACACAAATTTGTACGCCCCACCGGCATACAGGTGGAACCTTCACAGTGCAGAGAAGCAGCCATGGCGTGGGGACCTTCACCACTCCTCCCTTGTAATGGAGCACTAATGTGTCTAATACACCTCCCGTGCTGAGCAGCAGTCCCACTTGTCCCCTCCCTGCCACCATCCAGGGGACCTTTGCCAGGGAGGTGCAAATACCTGCTGTCACTCTAAGATATATATAGGGGGCCTACAGGAGAGATGGGGAGGGACTCTTTATCAGGGAGTGTAGTGATAGGATGAGGGGTAACGTTTTTAAACTGAAAGAGGGTAGATTTAGATTAGGTATCAGGAAGAAATTCTTTACTGTGAGGGTGGTGAGACACTGGAACAGGTTGCCCAGAGAAGCTGTGGATGCCCCATCCCTGGAAGTGTTCAAGGCCAGGCTGGATGGGGCTTTGAGCAACCTGGTCTAGTGGGAGGCGTCCCTGCCCATGGCAGGGGGGGTGGAACTAGATGATCTTTAAGGGCCCTTCCAACCCCAACCATTCTATGATTCAGGTCCTTGGAGCCCATATAATGTAGAACTCCGGTACGTTCTCTTTGCCAGATACACACAAAGTGTTTGCGATGTGGATTCAGCTGGCTAAGAGCCATAAAGTAAATTTTACCCTTTTTGGCTTGGGCAGTAGAGAGTTAAAAAGCAACTGGCTGAATATATGCAACCAAAAGGAAATCCCAGTATGTAGGAAACAAGAAACTAGAAATTATACAACTTGTTAACTTTAAGATGGGTTTGGAAGACACTTCAGTCTTGACTGGTGTGTGCTTAAACTGCAGAATAAGCAGTTTATGAGCAGGACCTTTCAAGATACAGCACTTTGTTCATCTCGTATCCATAGTTTGACCAGAGAGTACAGGTTTAACAGGAGGTTTAATTGGCTCGTAAACACAGCTAAAAGCCTTTTATGGGGCTGAGAAGAACGACTGGGCTGGGGCACTGCTCTCCTTCTGGATGTGTAGTGAAACTGAAGCAGTTTATTTTTCCTCTGTCTGCTCTCGGAGCAGAGCCTTACACAGCACCCAGCTATGCAGGATGTCATATGCTACACTCAGTACCCACACTGCCCCAGCAATTTGCGTTAGGTATGTGCAGCTGCATTTAGACTAAGATTTTTCATTTAGAATTGTTCAAAACCCAAGGGGGCAGAGGACAGAAATTCTTTTGATATGTAGTTAGTTCAGAAGCCAGAATGCTTGGTTTTAATACTCTGTTTTTAAGGACTACTTAAAACTAAGAATTGGAATGATCTTGCCAATTTCAAGGCTCTCCATGATACTTCTTTCCAGTACAAAATGGGTATTTAAGAAAATAATAAATAAAAATGAGCAGCTAATGTTTTTAGCATGTTCCCCATGTTCTTCCGTACAGAACAAAATAATTAGTTAATCCTCTGATGTTGCCTTAAGACAGTGCTTGGAAAACTGAAACTTGAAGAGCCATTTTCAGAGAACTGCAAACCATTTGTCATTTAATTTCCTCTTTTTTTTTTTTTTTAATAATGAACCTACATAACACCTGACATTTGTATTTCTGAGTCTATTTATCTGTCATGGGTCGATCATTCTCTGAACCTTCTGTTAGCTAAATTTGTACATTATTCTGACATACCGAAATTATTGAGATAGACTTTTTTTTTTTTAATTCAGTTGAGGGAAAAATCATTGAGGCAATATCAGTTTCATATAGAAAGCTTTGCCAGAATACCCTTTGCAAGCATGGATTTAGAAGACCCCATGGGAAATCAAAAAAATGTTAATCCACACTCTGACCTTTTCAGCTGTTCATTGGACCACCTTAGTAAAAACAACTATTGCCCCTATGGAGGATCAGGTGACACCATGTCTGGAAATTTTTTTGGATCAGCTTTTTGTTTCTGTTTAACTTGCCTCTCAATTGTATAGCTATTTGAGTTCTGTGCTGAGTCTAACAGAATATTGTCTCTTGGGACCTGTAACAGTATATAAGCATACAAAATGCATAGGAACATTGTGAGTTACAGTAGCACTTGCCAGTTTTTTTCAGCTTGTGCAGTTTTGTTTTGCAATTGACAAGAGGCTGTGATTTGGTGCACTATAAAAATATATGTAGTGGGTCGATTTTCAGTGCTTTGAAACCCCTGCTGTTGCCTTTACTTTTTTAGTGTATACCCTAATCACAAGACAAAATATTTTTTACTAATGATGAAGGCAAAGCACAGATCAGTTTTCTGTACGCACAGCTTTTGCACTCCAAGCTAGTCTCAGCATCTCTAAGGTTAACATCTTCAAAATACTAACTTTCAACTGAACTGCATTGCAGTAATTGTTAAGCAGTCTTTAATCTTTCCCTCACTGAAAGGTGGAGCTACATGACTGTGTCTTTAAATGTCTGCATATATATGTACACATACATAGGGTATAAACTGCCAACAGTTACACATTGTACAGTATTTATTCCTTAATTTGACATTTATCATCCAGTATGGGTGCTGGTACAAAATACATTTTCAAATTGTACACACTGTAAATCTGTATGTTATCACTCAATTATTTTTTATAAATCCTCCTGAATGGGATTCAGTCATTAATAGTTCCAGTTTAACAAACCAGTGCAATTAAAACATTTTTAAGGGGCTTTGGGAAAATTTGGATAATTTTCCTCTACTCTCTGTTTTTCACTCTTCATACCCTGCATTTCCTAACTCCAGCTGGGAGAAAAAGTGCTGTGTTGCACTTTTCTATGCAGTATTTTTGGCCAAATTAAAAGCAGGAAGTACCAGAAAGTTCACAGAAGAGCATATTCTTGTGAGGTTTCTTGTCCAACTTTACAGACCAAGAGATTCAGATAAGATTTGACTAATCATTTACATTATTAAATTTCTGTGGCATTGCCTGGAAAAATTGTATTATGGACATTTTATGGTAAATGATATTAATTCTTCTTGAATATAATTCAGGGTTGAGGTTTTTTTTTTTTTTGAGATAATTAAGATGGTAAGATAACTCGCTTAGATAATTTAAACAAACAGCTCCTTTGCCCAAGAAAAATTTGCACAATACCTATAAGCTAGATTCAACCTGCTGAACTTTGTAGACTCACCCCCTGTCCTTCCTTTGCGAAATGTGAGAAATTGCCAACTGCATGTCAGTGCTCCAAAACATAGTATGAAACACAGGTCATTCAGTAATTCAAACAGTATGGGCAAAAAGACTTTGCTATAGTATTTTAGTAAGAGAGGAGTAAGGATGTGCATATGACAGCAGGTTAATAATAAATACATCATGAAAGTAATAAATATAAAATCAAACAAAAGCTGCTTCAGTACATAAATGAGAATTTTGTGTAAACTTGAGTACCAGATCTAAGTATTCTGTGTATGCTCTGTCTGGAGCCATGTCTTTGGGGATTTAAAGGTCATTTCTCATTTTTCATTCATAGCTGATCAGCCTGGGGGTTAGACGCATGATCTATATGCAGTTGCCATTCCTTACTCTCCATAGAGGCAACATGTCCTGAAATGTCTAATCATGTGTTCTTTAAAGGCTTTGATCCAAATCAGTTGTCTGGCAGATCAGTTCCAGAGAATAGATGTCATAGCTCATAGAAGATCTGTTGAAGATGCAGAAACCGGATTAGTTAATATTATAAAGGATGGGGTTACAAATATACTTTCTGTTCAGCTCACAATCTCTTGTACATAACTGTGTATAACTGTAGATACCACATTCAAAATTTTATTAGCACAGATGGTAGACAAACTGGCAGTACCGGGAGATCTGGGCCCTTCCCTGAGCTTTCACTGAGCCTATCATTTTCAGCCAGTAGAGCTCAATCAAACACAACATAAAAGATCAAATGTGTGTCCAGCAAAGAAGTATTTCTGTTGCTCTTGTCCTGAAATTTCACAGGTGAAGTTGCATGAGGTAGCAGAGTTATCTGTAATTTTGCTACCAAAGCCAGCAAGGCCTTACTCAATAACCCTGCTCACCAGACTCTGTTGTTTAACACACCCAGTGGATGGTTTGACTCAATGCATGAACCAAGCAGACCTTCCTCTAACGCTAGTTTTCCACCAAGATGGCTATTTGAACTGCCTTAAGGAAGGGATCACTGTGTGCAGTAACTGACAAATGGTAAAATGAGCGCGTGTAGCCACCAGTGGGGAGTGAGAGAGAGATGGGAAACCCTTTCTGATGATGCAACTGGTTGGAGTCATTCAACCTATCTTTGCATTGGGACTGCTCTTCTAAGTGGTCCAATCAGTCCTTTGAATCTGCCGCAGAGAAAAATAATACAAGCAACCACTCAAAAAAAACAGGTTGGTTATTTTCCAGTTTGGGGATTCTTCTAGAGGAACATTTGCAAACCTACAGACTATTCCCCCTTTTCTTGGAGCCTGGTACCTCTGAGGTTCCTTGGCTGAAAAGGAATAGACCTACTTATGCCTCAAGCTTGAGAATCAAGTGAAGGCAGTGATAGGTATTCATGAACAATACAAACATGTTAGACCACTGCTAGGTTTACTATATCCCTTTTGTGTAAGCATTACAGTACAGGAATCTTTCCTAATGTGATTACAACCATGCTTTTGTCTCTTTCAGAAGATCCCAGGGTCATTTGGTGCTTCTTGTTTTTATCTCTGTGGTCAAAGTGTGGCCCTTCACCACCCAAATGATGCATGAAACAGTCTCATCACTGGCTTTTCTCATTACTCATCTGATGTCAGACTGCTGGGGAAGATGCTTTATCTTCACAACCTGCCTTACCCAGGGCCTTGCCCTGTGTGTGCAGAGTGACGTCCGTCCCGGTGTGAATCCACGGGACCTCAGGCAGGACCGTGCTCGGGGCCCACCTCGCCTCGGGGCCCCTCTGCGGCAGCGACCAACAAACCACACAAGTTCTGGGAAAAGCAGGGCACTGTTTTTAAAAGAGCACCAGGACACCATGGGGCGGGTTACAAAGCGGCGGGAGGTGGTGAGGTGGGAAGCGCCCTCGCCTTTTTCCTTCATTGGACTACACTTCCCGTGGTGCATTGCGCCGGAGCGGGGAGGACTGCGCATGCGCAGACCCCATGGGACCGGCGGGGCGCTGCTCGGGGCGGAGGTTTTGTTTCCGGGCTGAGGTCAAGAGGTCGCGCGCAGAGCGCCGGGGGTTTCCGGGGTCCGGGGCCGCGCTCCCTCCCGCCGCCGCCTTGTCCCGGCGGGGATGGACGAGGACGGGCTGCCCATCGTGGGCTCCGGCATCGACCTCACCAAGGTACGGGCGGCGGTCGCCCGGGGATGTTGGGGGGGGGGGGGGGGGGGGGGGGGGGGGCCCCCCTCCCCCCTGGGCTGTGCCTCAGTTTCCCCAGCGTGTGAGTGATGGAGCTGGGTGGCCTCGGGCACCCCAACTGGAGATCAACTGTGGCCACCAGCACCCCGGGCTGGCGGTGGCCGAGGAGGCTCCCGGGCTGGGCCAGCAGCCGGGAGTGGTGGCCCCAAGGCAAGGCTGGCACCGGGGGGGGGGGCCCCGGGGGGGGGGGGGGGGGGGGGGGGGGGCGCTGGTGCTGTCCCGCTTCCTCCCCCGGCGGCGGCTGCGCTGGCCCTGGTGCTGGGCGAGGCCCGTCCTTCCCCTCCCCTCGCCCCGCTCTCTGGCCCGGCCGCGGCCTCGGCGGGCACCCCCCTCTCCCACCCGGGGGCTGCTTGTGCCTTTGTAGCAGCCCGAGGACCCCCAGTGCCCGCAGGGGGGTCGCGGGCGGACGAGGCGGTTCGTGTAGCCTGAAGGTGTGTCCCCAGCAGAGCCACATTAACGTTTTCTGACATTGTTTGGCCCCAAGTTTCTGCGATATCCTTACATTTAAGAGCTCAGTCGCTTCAGTCTTAGAACTGTGAGGCACATCCCGTGCAGAGCTGCTTATTTGTGGCTTTTAATGATGCAAAGACATTCTTTTAGCTTTGGTTCTCAAGCATAGAGCATAAAGCTAGGACAGGGTGGGTTGCCCCAGGAATCCCTCCATCCCCTGTGCTGCCCCGTACATTTCCATAAGGTCATAAGCACAGTTGGGCAGTTTCGGAGCCACAGAATTGAACTTCAGCAGGCCCTGCCCCTGCAGGTGCACAGGCTCAAAGCTTGAGTTAGTAGCAACAAAAGTCTCACAAAAAATCAGGACGTCTTGAGACTGGCAAAGTGTAATGAATGGCCACGCTGGCAAACGGAAGACCAAAGAAGAAGTGAGGGCTGGGGAGTCACTGTTTTCACAAACTGTTGTTCAGCGCAGCTGAAGCTTGGCTGCAAATTTTTTTCCTTGTAAAGCCTTCGCTTTAAGCGGTTACAATTCCATAGAGTAATTTCCTGTGTGAATTTTAAGACTCGAACAATTTTCCAAGGCAATTAACCCTGAGGCGCTATAATTTTATACATAAACATTTGTGTGAATGTTCCTGATTCCAGTCTGTCGAACGGTTTAAATAAAAATGCCAACTGTCTGTTACAGTATGAGCACCAGGCTTTTTTTTTTGACAAACGTAACACTACCTTTTAGTCTGAAAAGTATGTGTGCATTGGATCCAACTTGGAGGAGTGATACTAAAGTGTAATTTTAGGATATTCTAGGCTTGCAGATAAGAATTATAGGTAGCCACAAAAGATTGGGACAGCAATTTCACTACTCTCTATTTTTTATTATGGTGTTTGTGTGGATGACCAGGTTTGCTTTTCCTTCCTAAGCTTCAGAAGGAAAGATTCTGATTTCCTTTCTGTTTTTTAAAAATTTTGACACTGATTTTTGGGAAATTTCACAATTTCACCTAAAAGTGTTTTCTTAAATAAGATAGTCCTTCATTTATGTGGATCTTGTTGCCTTTTCTGTGTATCCTGCAGCTTTTCAACTGTCACGTTATTAGATTTTTGGTGAAAAAGGATTTGTATATATATTAAAAAATCTTTGTATATATGTGCATTCATAACAAGCACACTTTAGTTAATTTCTAAAATAATTTTTGCTAAAACATTTGCATTTTCTTAACAAGTCTTTAAATCCAAATGTGAGAACTGACATCTATGTATAATCTAATTTTCTTATATTATTTAATGCAGGTTCCTGCTATTCAGCAGAAAAGAACTGTAGCATTTCTAAACCAGTTTGTGGTTCACACAGTGCAGTTTCTCAACCGCTTTTCTACTGTTTGTGAAGAGGTATGTTTTTCATTTTCCCAGCTGTCAATTTATACAATGAAAAAAATCCTAGAAATGAGAACCATTCACTTAAATATTTTTGATGCAATAATACTGGTAGCTTAAACCAAAAAAAAAAAAAATTCAGTCTGCTTTCTGTTCAAGGTTTCTCTCGAGTAAGTGCTTAAGACAGATTTTTCCCCAAGATATCCACATGAACTGCTGATTATAGCACACTTAATTGTGTTTCCTTAAACTTTTGTGTTTGGCACAGTCTTTGAACTTTTTGGTACTTGGAATTTCTTCTGAGCAGCTCCATCTGTGGATATCATCTTGTTTTGGAAGAAGGATGTTAAATTCCTATGGTGCTGAATCCATTTTGACAGTCAGTATCCCTCTCATCTGCGTCCTAGGATATTGCATCAAGGCTTCCTTTCAGATTTTACCACCTCTAATTGGAAAGGGTGATACAGTAAGCTCTGAATATAAATAATTTTGATGCAGAAAAAAAGACATTTTTGGCAAGTGATCAGTATGGAACATGAAGCCATTAATTTTAGTGTCTTCTAAAATAGAGAAAAATAAAAATATTTAGTGTTAATAAGTTTTTGTGGCGACTTTACTGTCCACGGAAATATACCAGACTGACAGGACTAGAACTGTCCACTGACCAGGACAAGAGTGCTTCCTCTCTTGTAGAAAGGGTGTTTTCTAATGTGGCTTTGAGCTTAACCTTTTTGTCATTAGTGGGTTTTTTTGTAACTGTTCACTGGTTTATTCAACAAAGACGACTATACAGCCCTAGCCAGCAGGGCTAGGGCAGCAGTCAAATCCAATTAGACTAAGCCATGTAATCTGAGAAATTCTGTTATTTGTTAGTAAAGTTTAGAGCCAGACCCGTGACAAGTTTATAAAATCTGGCTACCACATCAACATATGGAGCTTCAGAGGAAAAAGAGTATTTTTTTCTAGATTGTTAAACTTACTGTAACTTGATACATGGGACAATGTAACTGCCTGGTGATGCTGTTGTCAGTTGTCCAAAATTCAGTTGTCACATGATCTCAATTTTACCTTTTGCTAGGCATTATGGAAATCAGAACACATGTATTTAAAGCCATCTTTAGCACACAGCAACTCTGTGAAGTCCACTTAATGAAAGTTACTAGTTAACCTAAATGTGGTATTACCCATAAATGCTTGCTTTATAAACTCCTTGAAAAGTTTTTTGTATTTATGAAGTACAGAAGTGTTTTTAATGCGAAAGGTCCCAGTGTAAATCACCAAAAGCCAAGAAATTCAAAATTAGGACTGACACCATCCTTAACTCTAAATTTCTTGACTCTTACCTGGTCAAACTGACCTGTAAAGTTATATAATTATCTTTTGTACATCTTTCCTCCCCTTTCCCGAGCTACATGTAGGGCACACAGTTCCTTTCAGTAGGAACTAACTCCTCTTCATGAACAAAGAACCATCTGTAAACAAGTCAGTGCACTCTCCAAAAAGACTAACTCCCGTCAGTCTCTTTTTTTACTTTTTCTAGCATATTGGCAGAATTGCCATTTTTTTAGGGTGTTAAAGTTCTGCTTCAGAGCCAGGCAGAATCTTGCCCATGTGCCAGAAAGCTGTCAGAGTGGTACATACCTGCCAGCCAGCGTGCTAGCCAACTTCACTTGGACAGGTCTGGTGAAGTATGGTAGTGATTAGTTAAAAGAGTGACAGTTCTTATAGAGTAATTTAGGAAAAACTTAAGTTGTATTTTTTTTAAAAAAAAAAGTGTCAAAATTTGATTGAGGTGCACCTGGAGCCTATAAAGCTTCTGGTTAGTTCTGATTCACTGTGCATTTTGACTTTATAGGACTTTCAATCACCTGCTGTATTCTTTATCAGATTTTTTTACTTTGTATTCGCTCTGTTACATACACACGCATCACGTCTTTTCATCTTCTACATTTGGAAAAAGCTTTGAAGAAAGATGTTTTGGTAACTGCGAGAGTACGGTATGTCTACCATTATTCTCCAGTTACCCAAAGTAATACCTTATTGACTTTGGCTTTCTTTTGTACGTAGTCTCTTTTAATTTCTGTCAGTCGTTATTTGGGAAAACTAACTGCCTAGTAAAATTATTTAAAATTTCAACCACTGTAACTACTGTACTAAGAACGGAGTAGTTTATTCATTTTTTTCATAATATTACCATATCATTTAAACTCTACTCTGCCTTCAGCAGGTAGACAACAACAGTGATTTTGTTTAACTATAGATGTAAGCTGGTTTATATGTACAAGTGGCCTACGGAAGTGTTTTCACGTCCTAATTGTTTTCAATTCTAGAAGTTGTCAGCACTTTCTCTCCGTATCCAACAAATTGAAACAACACTCAATATTTTGGATGCAAAGGTATGTATGAGTACAGACTTTGCCTTCTAAAAGTGGCAGCTTCTGAGGTTGCATAAACTAGCTTCCTTTTCCTAGTCTGAATTGAGCAAATAGGTTTTCATAATGATTTGAAGCAGCTAATGCAAAATGCTCACATGGGAAATTCTCTCTTTGCATGCCTTGCCAATTCTATTGCGTAACATTTGAACATTGTAGTTGATATGGAAGAAAGGAACCAACAACACGTAGTGGAAATGTTGGTTTTGTTTCTTAAACATATTGAACAGGAAAGGAGCACTTGGACCTTGAGAGGGCAACTGAACTACATGGCAGCTTACTTGTGTTGGTTTTATTGCAGTGTTTGGTTTTAAGAGAACAGAGGGTAGTTTTCCGATATTAAAATAGGCAACTTGTGTTGCAAGGCTGCAGTACGAAATTACATTTGCCTTGGGAACTAATAAGACTTTTTTTTCCCCCTCTATAAAGTAAAATTATCTTTCTAAGTGTTACCAAACTGTAAGGATTTCAACTGGCATAAGTAACTAGATAGATGCCTTGTAAACCTTTTGATCTTGAAATGGGACCTGAGTTGGATCTAGGTTAACACAAATGTGTCCAAAAGGATATAATCTATAGTCATGTGTTATCATTTAATTTGCTAGCAGTGAAATAGAAATCACCTGAACCCTAAAACCAAAGAACCATACACCATGTAGTTTTAACCTATTGTTCTTTCAATAATGATGGAAGCGATTTCACTTGGCTTTTCTGGTAGCAGGGGTAGGGCATTTTGAAACCTTTCATTAAGATCTTTGTGAAAAAAGATACTGTAGTACAAACAGCGCTCACTAACTGTTATTTATTTCAAAATATTTAGTAATGATCAGTACTGATAATTTTTGCAGAATTCTTGATAATGGTGTTAAATAGAATTTCCTTCAAATAAATATGCAGCATATTTAATATCCCCTCTCAGCATTTCCTTAAAAAAGAGTGAAAGATGTAGAAAGTTGCAAAATCTGTAACCAGTCACCCATCTGTTAGGTAATAGAGCTGTTCTTGTCATGATTTCTTTCCCTGTAGAGGAAGTGGCAGAGAAGATGGCACGGCTCTTGTGTAGCTGATAAGCGCAGTAGCAAAATGCTGGGAAGGTGTTAAATCCTTTCCTGCACTGCAACCCCATGTTAACAGTGAAAGCTCCAATCAAGGAGTGGTTTGGGGGTAAAAGCCACCTGAATAGAAAAACCTTTCTTTTTTTTTTATGCCAATGAAAATACCAAAACTAGTAATAAAAAGTTATGATTTTACTAATAGGAAACCTACCTGGGGAACACGTGGTAAGCAGCATGCTGCAGATCTTATTGTACACATAGACTTATGATATACTCATTGCTTATTCGGTGATGTTTTGTACATTCAGTTATCCTCTATTCCTGGCCTAGAAGATGTCAAATGTCAAGTGTCCAGTGCAAATACGAATAGTGTTACAAATGGTCCTGTGGCACAAGCTACTACGGATCAACAGACAGCTGTATCACCTCAGTCTGGAGTAAGTAATGAAGCATAATTAATATATTAAAGGAATATACCTCTCTGTGTCAAATTTCTAGTCTCATTTGAAATAGATGGAAGAAGCAAGTGTATTGGAAGAGAGCAATCAACTCTAAAGATCTAAAACATATTTTTCACTAATGAAACTGTATTAACAAGTGACTTAAAACGAAAGAGGGTATACCCTTTCTTGAATATGTGTCTTAAATAATTAGAAGTAACTCAAATCTAATGGTAAATTAGAGTTACCATTTAGAGGAAGCCTCCTTCCTCTTCTTCAATCACACTAAAATATGAACGGGAATTACATCAGGGGACTGGGAAGAATGTGAATAAGAATAACAGTTCATAATTCCAGCTCTTTTCTCCTTTGTTTAGAACGTGAGCTTTCAGCTCAAATTGGGAGTTTCTAGCATACTTTATTCTAATGAGGTTATTACAGTGAATACTTTCTATATATTATCATCTATGTGCAGAAAATGTGAGTTATTATAAGCGATCAATATTAAGATCCTATCCCTGTGATTAATTTTTGTTGGGTTTTTTTAACCCAGACTTAAATGCTGTGATCATCACTTCACTAAGCGAGGCCAATTCCAGTCTCTGCTCATTCTTTTATTTGGTGGAAGTTGCTGTGGAGCAGCAATAGCTGGAGTATACTCTGTTGCCTTTCCATGCCTGTTAAAGGTTGTAACTTTAATTTGCAGCCAGCAACACGGTAGACAGAATGGACAATTGGCATTGTGTGTTTCACTGATGTTAGAGAATTACGCTCAGTTATTTTTTTTTTAAAATGTTCCTCCTCTGATATTACAGTAGGGACAGCTTTTCTGAAAGGTTTCCAATGCTACTTTCAAATGTTTAGTTTTATCGCAAATGCACCATTTTCTGTTGACCTTTAAGTAGTACTATAGCTTCTTGTAATTTTTCATTATTTTATCCATTAGGTTAATGGTTTATGCTAAGAAGTATAGTTTATAAGCTATATGATCTGTATGAAACATTTTTCAGGGAATGAAATAAATACTTTGAGGAAAAAAGGCATTGTACCACTAGGGCAGCTAGATAGTTATAATCCTTTAAAAATATTTTTTATAAAGGGAGCATTGAAGTTTAGTTCTGTTTTATTAATTGAATGCAACAAACTTAAAAGGGCTATTACAGGCTAATTATTTTTTTTTCACATATTATACAATAGCTTAAAATTGTGACTACAAGTAGAAAGTCAAACTTGTAACAGTCAATAATGAAAGAGCTGTTTTTTGTGTATTCATGCATTTTATCTATATTAAAAAAAAATCTCTATACTATGAGCATAGTTCAGAATAATCTTGGTGAAAGAAGAGTTGCAGTTCACCTGTAAATTACAAATGTTATGGATTGAAATCTCTCCCTGCTTCTGGCTTGCCTACCTAACCATTAAAGTGTTATCTTCTTTGTCTACAGCAGAACAATATCCATGAAGAAGGGTTACAGAAAACAGAGGTAGTAACAGAAGATGTTAGAACTGTGGCCAAGGATCCAAGATACGCCAGATATCTCAAAATGGTACAAGTGGTAAGTCAGTTCTCTTTCCAGTCTTTAGGTACTCTGTCATTTTTAGGTGGAACATCACACACAGCTCTTAAGGGAACATTAAACATCTGAAGACATATATTGCATCAGTAATCTTTAAGCTCAGATAACATCACAATATTTCTAGCAGGTCTTCTCTGATGAGTTGGTGTAATATATTCTCTCAGACAGCTTCAGGCAAGATCTTTCTACAGAATTCTGCTGATACAGTTGTGAAATGAAGGTGTGAAGATGTGTAAATGCAGAGTGATATTAGCTGGAGTCACAGAAGATGCCACAGAGAGTGTAGTTATTCCGGCAGAATTGGTGTCATTCATAATTATAGTTTGGTTTTGCTGTAGGGTACAAAATGCAGCTTTGCTGCTACAGTCCAGAGCAGGAGCATTTGGTATTTCTGTAGGGTTCAAAATAGAGATACAAAAACTGCTTCAGTGCTTGGTTCCACTTCAGTTTCCTGTTATTCGTGGTGCAGGTTTTGTCTGCCTCTTTATCTGTAGACTGTTCTAAAGATAAATAGGAAATAAATTAATGTAATGTCTATATTTACATGAATGAAAACTATTGAAGGGGTGAAAAGGTGAATGGGAGCCTCTTGGTGACATTTTTTAAGAGCTGTTTTTTTCACATCCACAAAATTAATAATGAGATTGGAAACAAAGAAAAAATCTGTATTTTCAAGCTGTCAGTGGAAATTTTCTTCTGAAATATATGTTATAATGCTGGAAAATACGACTATGTCATAGTATTAGTAAAATGGTGCTTGTGTTACAATTAGAGTGTTTGGTACTTTGGATGATGTTCCGCACCTTATTTTTCATTTGAATCACAAATTGGCACTTCACGGGTAGCCTATTACAAACCATTTGGAAAACGTAGCAGTGGGGTAGTAGCAGAGAGTAGAACACTATGTTAGTGCCTTGATTTAATGCCAGGCTTCAAAGTGGATGTGAAAGTGCTGGATGGTCTAATTACTTCAATTTTTTTTTTTGGTGACTGCTGAAGGAGTGAGATCTCACTTTCCACATTTATCCTTTGTACTGGCAGTTCTTGGTGACTCCTCTGCCAGTTGTAAACAGTGTGGTAGGAAAGTTAAACTAACATACTACAAATTAATGCGTGTTTTTGATTTGTCAAACTTGTCTTCTCTTCCAGTCAAGTATTTCAGTTAGTGTCATTTATTTGCCCAAATTATGTTTCTAACTGAAGATTTGTTTGAACTGATCATTTATTTATTACTCAACATATTTATAGTATTTAAGAATTAGCACTGTGAAGAGATATTTCTTTTTTCACTAAAGATAGCCGTTCCATGAAATAGTAACAAATCCATTTCAGTAGAGTGCAGTTCAGCATACTAAGTTAATATTTTTTAAAATATGCAACAATAATATTCAAGCAAACCTTACAAAAACAATGTCATATTTTCTACAATAAATGTTCAGGACGCTTCCTTTGACAGTGTAAGAGGAGCGGTCTACGATTTCAGGTAAACTTCATGTTTAAAGTACAAATACTCTTACTTGATTCTAAACACCAAACATGACTGAATTAGACTCCAGGATACTGACTGATCCTTGCTTTAAAGGACTGAAGTAACAACCAAACACAGAGAGTGCCCTGCTCTTCAGGAATTCCCAGCACTGATGGTACATGACCTCTTTCTGGACTATGGAGAACCAAAACCTATTTTGCACCAAGATTGCTACTTGAACTGTGGTTTCTCCGGGGCTTGCGCACTCCCCGAGCTGCAAGACCAGGCTGGGAGTAGGGCTGGGGTACACTGTGTGCTGAATGTGTAGTGATTTGCATTATTTCAAATCTTAACTGAGCAAACGTGATGGAAATTTGGGACTGGCTCCTACGTTAGAAAACTATGCCTGTGCCATTTTAGTGGACCTGTTTGCTCAGTATATTTACAGTTTAGCTTTAAAATAGTTGTTTTATTTTAGCAAGATTTAGGGTCACAGCAATATTAGATTGCTGTGATTCTCTGATTTTCGAGATTAGAACTTACAAAAGTATCAAAGTAATTGTAGTGCCCTAATTGTATTATAAACAGATATAGGTACAATCCTATTTGTTTTCGTTCAGGAAAAAAAGTGCACTGTTGAAGGGCATTTTGATTAAATTTAGAATTGGTTTTGTAAATCTATGATATGAGGGTTACTGAGAGGTTTTTTCCTTACATACTTTGATGCATAACATTTTGGATTAAAACACTTCTCCAAGTGTGAACTAAAAGTGTAACCAATTTTCAATCATTCTTAGAAGTTTGTGTACTGAGCTCCCTCTCATCGAGAGCAAACACAAATTCTGCTTTGCCTGATCTGACTCAATCTGGTTTTCATGTGGTTTGAATTGATACATAAACACTTCAGCAGTAACTTTGGAGCTGGGGAAAGGAACCATCAAAGCAGTCAAGCAAGGGAAAATAATTAGATAGTATGTATATATGAGACAGTGTATAGATACACAGTCCCTGGTGTCCAAATTTATACTAGAATAAGTCAATATTTTAAAGTGTCATGAAGTACTCAAATGCTTTCTCCTTTGTAGTGTATATTAGTTGTGAATTACTGAGAAATTCTTTATTACAAGCTAATACCTCGCAACTATTTGAGTCATATTTTTGACAATATGCCTAATGAATTGCTAAAACTGTGTACCTGTCTGTATGTTAGTCCGGAATCTTCAAGCAAAAGTCTTGATTGTGATTCTCACTGTGAAACTGCACGAGGAATACACAGTAAGGCAGCTACCTTAGTTCTCACTTTGCCAGGTTAGCTACTGCCACTGTCAGTAGTACCACATGCTGCTCTGGAATATTAGTCATGGCTCCCTTTATTTTATCACTATTTTACTTACTTTGGACAACAGATATTTGCCTTGTGCCAAAAGAATCCTACAATACTTTTCATTTAGGTTGTGAGGCCTCTCCTGACTTTCCTAGACCACCAGTAGCTTTGTCCCTTGGAAATCACAATTTTTTTTTTTCATTTTTTTCCCCTCCTTTCTTGGCGTGCAATGGTCCAGGTGGTGTTTCTGGTGGTTTGCAACAGGGGATGGCAAAGCAACAAGTTGTCTTTGAGCAACTCTAGTGGAAACACAGGAGCAGTTTGTTGGAATATATCTCGTAAGACGACGTGGGTCAAAGTGTTCTTGGGTATGCGATCCAAGATGAAGGGATGTTTAGGTGTTGCTGAATAAAATAAAGTGCAGAAGCTGTGGAAGGACTTGCAGTGAAAGGAAGGAATTTTTTTTTAACACTTACATAGTTGGCTACAATCTGCCCACAAGTCATAGAAGAGTCAAGCCTGACTGTACAAGCACTTGTATTCAGAGGAATCACTTTTAAATTGTGCTTCTGTTCTCGTGTCCTGTTTGCCTTTTCCTGCTTGCTTTTTAAAGACTTTTTCAGTTTTTAGCACTGCCTTAAGGTATCCTTCCAGAGCTGTAGCAGATGCACTTTCCTGGTTTTCCTCCCTCTTTGGCTATACCTTCAGCATGTCTGCATCTTCTGCATCTTTCTGGCACAATTGTTCTCTGCTGTCATTGCACTTTCTTCACATTCTCATCCGTACACATATCTTCACCTTCCTGGCTTGTTCTGTATGAATTGCAAATACCCATTTGTGATTCTCTCACTACAGCTTTCTGTAGGTGTTTTACCATAAATATAAGAAGGATTAAAAGGGCCTTTGATCTTTGTAGTTTCTCACTTCTAGGTTCATACTGATGGCAACTGAGATTATCATTCTATGCTGTTGTTCAACAAGTGATATGCATAGATTTGTATAGATGTGTAGCCTAAGAGAACCTGTGGAATTTAGTGTCCAGTAGTTTCATATTATTCTTCCTTCTCCTACACAGGGTGTTCCTGTAATGGCAATAAGAAACAAAATGATTTCTGAAGGGCTAAATCCAGATCTTCTCGAGTAAGTAATTTGTAACTTCCAGTATGGCTGCAATTCAACCATGTGCTTAAAAAACTTTGGAAAAAAGTGTGCTTAGAAAAGCTTGTTTATGGTATTGTGAATTTAAATTCCCAGCATTAAAACAGGTCTTGCAGTTTTTCGTGAAAGGCGTTTTTAGCATTTTATAGGCCTGAAGAGGGCCATCAGTATCAAAGAAGGAGGGGATGCAATCTCAAGTATGAGCTGTCTTTTCAGTATTGTCTAGTCTCTAGTCCCAATTAATACAGAGACTGGTCTATAAACGTGTACTGCACCCTCCCAAACAGAAAGCTGCAGGACTTTACCATTCAGACTTGAGAGGAAACGGAAGGACTTCTTCCAAGCCAAGCAAAGGTGGTGTAGTTCAAGGGAAAGGATGTAGCAATGACAAGGTATCAATGTGCATTTAGCAATCAGTAGCCATTTTCACCGTGCTGGATAGAGCATGAGGTTTTTCTCAGATATTTTCTTTCAACACTTCAGTAATAAAATGTCATCGTTGTAGAGTAGTAAGAACAAACTCTATTTTATTTTGCCGGATTGAGGAGGGACAACACAGTTGTTTCCAGATTCCCTCAGTAGCTGGAGTGTATAACTGGACTTCAACATTGACAGTGTAAATTGAAGTCAGCAGTTCAAAATTGTGACTGTTGATTGAGCTAACCTGATGTGAAGACTACTAAGAATAGATACTAATTTTCAAAGCTACTTGTCTGCCCATAAGTATGACTTTTAGGCTTATTTTACAATTGACATTGTAATTTAGTATTACTGTACTATTTTACAGAATTTTTTAAACTGATGAATATTATATCCACCAATCCTCTTCAGAAACTGTCAGTATATTAGAATGTCTGCTTCTTCTTCTTTCTAGTGAAGTCTTTTTACAGTTTGGAAAAGCTTATTCTGAAACTAGCACCTTGCTTAATGAAATACATAAAAATATAGGAAAACTGAAGTATCATCACATGTTGAGTCACTTTATCTCCCAGCTACTTCCTGGTGTCTAAATAAGCCTAAAGTAGTTATTCCTCATTTGGTCTTTTTACTGATTGAATGAGAAGTAAGAAAAAGAACACAAGTAACAACCTGTGCAACTGTGAGACAGGATTATCAAACATGGTTTTACTATTTGTGTGTTAAATGTGTTGTATTTTTCACTCTGCATTTCTCGTCCACACCTTTCTGTAAGTGCTGCTCTTTCTTCATGTTTGGATGGATTTTTATAGTGGATAAAAGTAAGATAATATGTTAACATTTCAAAAGCTTTTTAAAAAAATACTTCCTTTTGGATTGTCTGTTTTGGGTTACGACAGAAACATTACTGTGGATTGAGGCTCACAGAATATGTCTGAGTCTCAAAGTCCATCTTCAAAGATTCTGTGGAACAGTAATGCTTAGGCGGATTTTCTTTAAAATGTTACTGGTTTGAAAACTGTGTAGCAAATCTAGCTGGTTAATGAAAACTAATTTTTTGGCAAGGTGCATAATGCATAATATTTAAGCAGTCAGGGGTGACCTTTCTTTTCATTTTCTTGATTTCTTCTCTCAGTATCATAGATTCTTTTTTTAAATATATGTGTATCTTGCCATTCACACCACATTTCTTGTGTCTTCAGGTTCCTTAGGCATGCTCAGTCAGCCCCAGGGAAAATGTACCTATTGCTGTATGCTCAGTTGCTCACTGCAGACCCTCCCAGCTACTTGCCAGTGACTAAGCGTGTGTTTCTTGTGGCTGCAGAAATGCTAATTCTAGTAATATGGAGTTGTTTATACTCTCTTCCTTAGGCTGTTCTGTTACCACTCCTTTCTCAACTCTTTACAGAACTTGAAGACTGCCTATTCTATCAAACTCCCAATTTATCTATTTTTAACTTTTATTTTTTATCCTTCCTCTCTTGCCTGTCTACGATTCCAGAAGAATTTGTCCTGCTCTCATGAACTAGAGGAATTCATTGCCATCTTCCTCTCCTTACTTGAGGAGAGTTTTTGCACTGGTCTCTCCAGATCACATGTCTTAGCACGGCTTTTCTGTTTTGTCATTACCACGGCAACAAGGAATAATATTGTGAAGTGGTATTTGCATGAAAAAGCAAGCGCTTTCTTAATTTATTTTGGAGGTGTGCAGGGGGGAGGGAGAAGGCTCTCTTACAGTTCTTTAATGCAGTTCTCATTTTTGCACCCAAAATGTTTAGGAACACTTTAAACATATCTTGGGGATTTCCAAAAGAGAAATGATAATAAACAGAACTAAAGTTGGAAAAGAAATTCTGTGGCATGACACACAGGAGTAGCCCAAAAATAAATAATTACCGGATGAATAATACAATTGTTGGCTTAGTTTAAAATGTAATATTTTATCAAAGAGAGCAGTTAACTATCATACAGGAAGCTAGTTTCTGTGAGAATCATTCTTCCCTTTCCCCAAGCATAATTGTGTGCATATTTTCTACCTTGGTTTCAGAATTTACCAGGCTCAGTCTCGTTTGTATTATCAAACTCATTACATACTTAGGAGGGAGACTCCAGGGAGGGCCAGCGTCATCAGTCAGTGGTGTTAGTTAGTCTTTAGATGGCTGGCTTCTCTCCCCTTCATTCCCAGTAGATTCCCTGAGCAAATGTTTTGACACTATGTTAGGATCCATCTTAAATATTCTCTTCAAAACTAAATAGAAGAGATCTGATCATTTGTAGTCAATAAAAATCCCATGGCTGCTCTTGCATGTCAAATTTAACCCAGTGTTCTAGCCAAATTCCACTCTGAGTAATTCTTTTTTGCTTCTCTAAATTATCCCTGCAGTTTTAGTTGGATACAATATTGTTCATTTCCTGTCTTATTTTTTTCATGTACTATTTACACTGCTTAATGGTGTACAGCATGTTCCTTTCAGCCCTAGTACCTCTGAAGATTGAAAAAAAAAAAAAGTTGAATTAATCAGTATTGCCTGCTTTCAACTCTTTCTACAAGTGTTTGCCACTTCTTAATGATCTGTCATTATTTCCGATAACCTCAAAGGTGTGCTTTCAAACTGATGTCTACAGAGTTTTGGTGTCCATTGACTAACATTTTCTAGTGTTTATCTTTCAGTTGTAAGTGAAGCAATACCAGTGAGGTGTGAGTTTGTGAATCATAAACAGTTAATGTGTTAAATGGTGTGGAAATAGTGCATGCAATTGTGGTGAAAGGCCGTGCTAAGCTGCTTGTGTTCTCAGCCACCTTCTAGGATTTACAACACAGAACTTTTTTGTTTGCAGGACCCCAGATGCCCCTGTGCCTGCCTGGGGAGATGATGGGAAAGCAGAAGACAGTTCTGATAGTGAATCTTCATTTAGTGACTAAAGAGACTGATTTCAGCCTTTGGAAACCTCTGTTAAGTGCTAATGTGTTTGGAGCTTTAGCAGACAATGGTTTTGCGTGGGTCCTATGGGTGATGTGGTTTAGCTGACAGCATTTTTAAGAACTAAGATCCTACATGTTGTCTCCCAGAAAGTTTGAACAAGCATTGTGTCTCATCCTCGAGCTTTCCACCGTGAAAATTAATCATGAGATCCTTGCAATTTTAATGCTGCATCATTTCGGATGCCTTTCTGGTTCTCTGAAATTAGTTTGCAAAATTCTAAAAATTCCATGCCTCTAAACCACCTGGTCTCTTAGACTGCATTCTTATTTATTGTTGGATTTTCTATCTAGCACTTTTAACCTAAGTTGCCTTCTTTCTGTCCCATAACATACAGGTAAAGTAACTTTTCAATATGAAATTGTTCAATTGTAATCTGTTGGAACTGTATTTTTTTCTAATTTCCTATATTCTGAAGTGATGCAACAAGAATCACACAGAAGTCAGCTTCTGTGATTGCAAGTGGTGATTTCAATTAGTAATACTCTCTTTAGAGAGAAAGTAAAATACAAGTGAAAAATATATTAAACCCAATGTGAATCTGTTTTCAAACTATATACTGCTGTTCAATATCACATTAGAGTCTGTGTGAAGTTATTAATGAAGTACCTGCTCTGTAGAAGAGTTGATTTATCTAAATCAGGTTACAGTGGTGTAGAAAGCTACAGACATTGCAAGATGGGTTTGCAAATGACACTGTGGAAGAAACAAGTGACTGGGAGATTATTAACGGAAATACCAGATTCTTACAATTTGTTCCCATGGGTCAGTAGGAAGCACTTTCTGATTGCTCTTGGGCATATTTGAAAGAAGCTGTGGCTGAGCAGTTTGCGTAGGGTAAGAAATCGCCTCCAAATTGGTGCTGTTGCTGATAATTTTGGCAAAGCAGCGCAAAATTCAGTTTGGATAATGATGAAGCTGCCTTGTTACCTCTTGAGGTGTGCATTTGGAACAATATGAAGAAATCCACTTGGAGCCTGACTGCCCCTGAAGGCTTCCGTCCAAAGTACTTAATCTAATGCATGAGTCAAAAATGACATTTCATTAAAGAATTTGCTTTAATATAGTTTGTTCCGCATGAAATTCTTCACAATCTATTTGAATTCCCCAGATTATTGTAATTATACCAGAATGTTGTGAGCCAGGCAGTCATTGACTCTCTGGTATTTCACATTCTTCCTGAGACCGAGAAAAGACTAAAATTGAAGGTCTAAGTATATAAATTTGTTAGCTTTTATGACCGAGTCATTATCTTAGTTATTTATTGCCCCTTCAGTAGGTTAGCTGCTTTTTTTCTCTGTAACTTAAGCATAGCTGCCACTTGAGCCTAGCAAACCTGTTTAAGCTCTTCATAACCTTCAAGTCACAGTAATCCCTGAATCCCTGTGGAAGCATATCTGCACTAACAAACGTCTAGCGATGGTGTTTCAATGATGGGCTAATTATTATTGAACACTTAAAAATATTCCGTAGTTAACACTTGGTAAAACCCGACAAATATTAACATATTAGCAATAAGTATTTCAAAAGTAAATGTTAGAATGTTATTTCAGAAAGCATATATTATAACACTGGTGACTTTTTGAAATCTATATTTGGAAACTCATTGAAGCTATCTATATAATTAAAGCTATGTTTTGTAAACCAAAGTTGTGGTTCTATTTTATTCCCATGTGTTTTAAACATGATGAAAATTCTTCTGTAGCCTCTGTAATACACGTTTCTCCAAAGCAGGTTATGCTGAAGTTGAATCAGTCCACTGCCTGAAGGGGACAGCTTTGAAAACAGGGGATTGGAGTTTCACTTAAGCCCTGTTAGCGATCTGACCAGAGGAGAAGGAACAGCCTGTAGCTGCTATTCTAAAAATAAAACTTAAGGAAGACCGAAATTAATGAGAGCTGTATGTTTGATACCCTTGAACTGATACTAACCTATGTAAGGAAACACTGGGACTTGAGACATAGTAGTCAATTATTTTTTAACAGAAATCAACAAGGTTACCAAAACACGTTGAAAGAGGTGTGACTTGTGGTGTTTATCATTTTGAGGAAGTTGTTTGTGTGAAGTAATTTTGATCTGAAGAAACTAAAACCAATTGCTTTTTACGTCACTCCAGATGTATTTTTATGTGAAATGAAAGAGAAAACCTCAGGCGTACTGTCACTTGTTATAATGAGGGATAATTAATTGGTAATTACATATACATATGTCACAGAAGACCAATTTCATTAGTAGGCGTGTTGAATTTAATTGCTGAAGACTTGGGGTTTTTTTGGGTAGCTGTTTACTTTGGAATGGTGCAATCTTTGTAGGCTTGCAGAAACGTTAAGAAAAACCTTTCCACTTTGTCTCCTCTTGCCCTTGGAGTGGTGGCACACAGCACAGTAAAAGTCCAAGTGCCTGAACCATGAGGAACCAGGGAGAAAAAGATGAAACCTTCCCTGTTTACCTTCAGTGCATCAGCAGCCATGGTGCTTCCAGTGCCTTCGGAACCTCTGACCACATTGAGCTCCTCAGTTCCTGCCAGTCTCATCTGCTAAACACATCCCCGTACCCTTAGCCTGTAGCCAAGTTCAATCCGAGATGTTTCAGTTCAGGACACATGCTGACACGAGAAGCTATTAAGTATGGGAAGGCTGGTTTGAGGCTGAATTATGTCAGCTGTGCTAGTCCTCCTTGATCTACAGCAGTTTTCTAGTGAGATGGTGCTAACCCAGAAAGTTGGAAAGCCCTTAACCGCAAGCTAAATACTATAAGCAGAGAATATTCCAACTTGCTCATTATTTGCCATCTGTTTTGGAATAGAAGATGGAGGGAGTATTTCAACTTGGCTGCATAGTAATCAGATATACATAGTACTTTCAAGGGAAAAAGTCCATTTTTAAGTGACTTTTATTTTTAAAAAGCTTCCCAACAGCAATGAAGTTTTAAAAGATGCAGTATACGTTAAGAGGTATCGTCGTACACATCTAATGTACCCAAATTTTACGTGGATTTAAAATCATCATCCAGGGCAATATTACAGTATTTTGACATGAGAACTATTTCAGCTTATTACTGGAATAAATGTTGAATGCATCTGTTAATAATAATTATGTACTAATGATGTACTATTAGTAAATTATTTACTCAGTATTTAAGCAAGCAATTTTTTTTCACCCCATCACCATCTTCCTCATTTTGCAGGTGAACCAGAGAGCAGAATCTATAAAGGTCAGTTTCTTAAAGATCTTAGCAGCATTTTAAATGGATTGAAGTGCCTTAAGACTAGATGCATATCTGTATTTATGTAAATGAAACCTCAAAAAACTGTCAAAGGCAAAACTAACATCTGGACATGATAATAGCTTTATCCTGAAGTTCAGCACTCAATCATTAATCTGTTCCCTCTCATCTCTTCTGTTCAGCTACATTTGAAAAGAAAATTGATGATTCTTTTTCCAAGCTGGGTCTCTTCCTTTTCTCTTGTTTCTGTTTCCAGTGTGTTATTTGCAGCAGTGATTAAGTGTATAGCTTGACATTCTGTGAAAAAAAGCCGTAAGAGGCTATAGCCTGTACTTGGAAAAAGAATATCGCTAAGGTCAGCTCTTCAAATTAGGTGTCATCTGGTCGATTTTGTTTTCCATGATGTTATGTGGCAGGAAACTGAAGTTCATCACGGTCTTCAGCTTTCTGGGAATCCAGGTTTATCTCTGAAAAGCTGGTACAAGGTTATAGCGTTACAATGGATTTTTTTGCAGAACAGATCATGCTTTTTCTTACTCTTCAAAAAATCTGGGAACCTGTTGTCTGAGACAACTGCGGGTTAAATGTCTGCTGTAGCGTTGTTCTCCTGATACTTCATGTGATGGTGTCCCCATGCAGACCGCTTTGCAGACAGCACTGGAGCTGCACATTAGCTCAGGCTTGTGTCTCGCTTCCTCTTGCAGTTCTGTCTCTGGTAAAAATCACTACTTTAATGGAAGGCGTGAGGAGTCTCGCAGTGCTCTGGCAGCCCCTTTTCCTGCCACCAAGATTTTATTCCAGCTGTGAGCAGAGATTAATGTTCGGCGCTAAATTACAAGTTTGTTAGTCCTTCCAAAAATGTTTGCATTAATTCAGGAAGCTGTGGATATTCCTGCCTTGTGTTTAACTGTCTAACTTTGCTAATACAATATTGCTTTAAGGGAGTTCTGTGGGCTAGTTCGTTATGAGGGAAACTAAGCAGAAAATTAAAATCACACACCCCATGCCATACAGAAAATGAGTGACAGAAGCTTAGCGTAGGGTGTGTGTCCACATATTTATACTCATTTTGAGGAAACAAGTTTAAATGACTATAAATTAAAATGCGAGTGGTTGGGTGAGGGCAGATGTAGCATGAAACACTCGGTTTTATTTGGATTTAGTTGTTTAAGTCAGTGTCTAAACCTTCAACAGGTGGATTATTTTCTGGTTCAGTGTATTTCCCATTTTCAGGTAAAAGTGTGGAAAGGAAAATTGTGAACAAACATTCACTTTGCAGACAGTTGATTGTTTTTGTATCAGACTTCATAACTGGTACCCTCTCCTTGAAGGAATGGTAAATAATAGTATTCTCTGATTTAGATAATACACTTTTTGCTTATCAAGCTCTTGTATATTCTACTCTACTGTTTATGCTATCTGAGGATATGCTGTTCCCTGTACACTAGAAATCCCTTTCTGTGCTTCATTATCGCCTTTTGTCACGGTCTGGAATCAGCAGTAGTTGTAGTGAAGTGGATGCTGAGTGTGGAACCAGTCTTTTACTGGAAAGAGCACACATCTGACTCCTGAAAAGGATGGGTCGGAAGAAAGGGATCTGGGAGTAATTTTTTACATTTATATGAAGAGTTCTTTTTATAGGTGATAACCATCAACTGTTTAATAAATCTTAGCCTTTGTGTCACTTGAGGTGGGAGAACTTTAGTACACTTTGAATTACCCTGCTGTGAAGAACTGGACAGTGTAAAACAAAACTTGTAAGGCCCATTTTAAATGAAAACTCTCCTAAGAATTGTGATTATCCTTTTTACTTTCAAACAAAAGATTTCTAGCGTTCAGCTGACTTCATGCTCCCAACAGATGCCACAATCCTTGTGTGATTTCTTGTAACACTATTTACACCATTTTTCAGGGGCATGGGGAATCTTTTTCCCAGTGAGAGCTAAGCTCTTCACAATGAATGTCTTATCGTGGTGGTTTCTCTGTACCGCTTCCCAACAGCTCATCAAAAAGGAGTACTTTTGCATGTGGAGATGATCCTTTGATCTTCTAGATCCAGTTCACCTACTTTTAATGTAGAGTAGAAGTAGGAACAGGGATAAACAGAGAAAATGAGGAGTGTCTTTTTCTCAGTTGTTTCATCATTTGCTTTTTCCTCAGTGCTGTGCTTTTAGGGAACTGCCAAATTATAACAAGAGAGATTGTTTTTTATCCAAGAAACCTTGAACAACATTTGGGTCTTGTTTGCCCAGCATGATGCCTGGCATCATCAAAAGTGAAGGGTGAAATAGGTGGCAGCCAGCATTTTTGTAATAATGGATTAGGTGAAAAACAGTTCATAATGCTTTGTCATGTGTTCGGTGTGGTTTAGGCAACTGATGTCAAAAGCTTGCCTGCCTGCACAAAAGCATTGATCCAGACAACAATTTCGAAGCAGCTGAATACAGTTAAAATATCATGGGTGGCGGGTGATTGTTAGTATTTTTCTTACTGTAACTTCTCTTCGCCTCTGACTTGGCTTTGGTGTCTGCCTCCTCTTCTATTGCAACGTTCAGCTTTGTTATTGTTCTTCCAGCCTCCTGGCATCCATGCTCTTCAAATAGTATTGAGTTGACCCATTGCCATAGTTTAAAACCATGCCAGTCTCTCTTTTGAGCTCTTGCATTTTATGGAATGATTCTATGGTATCATCTGCATAACATTTTAATTGTGAAGTGTTTCCGCCAGATTTGCTGTGAAAACACCATCATTTTGTACGTGTGTCTGTCCTTAGTTTTTCTATTGGCTTGTTTCAGTCACATTTTGGTAGGGGAGAGAGAAAGACATCTCAAAGATCGGGGTCCCCATGGGTTTGATGAAAATAAATAACCGGGTAAAAGGGAGAGATAATGTAATAGCATTTGAGCTGAAGAAAGGCTGCATCCCTGGCTGAAACCTTCTTAGACCCCAGGGTGATCAGTGTGAGAAAGGGGTGTTATAAAGTACCCATTTCTGCTTTTCCCCTAAGGTTAGTCCCTGTCAACAGCCAGAAGCCTTTAGACCTCTCTAGTTACAGCCCTAACTCAATTCTAGGGTTGTCTCCTGGATTTTCTTTATTCAGGCAAGGGGTCAATCAGCAGAACAGCACAACACTGATACGCTGCCAGTGAGATTATAACCAGTGGCAACCAGTCTGCCCAGCAGCTAGAATCTGAGCTTCACGAAACAGGGTTTCCATTGTCTCCAGCAGATTTTTATGAGCGTAAGGCCATGGTCTGTAGCCTTCTGATAGGAAATGCGTACGTAGAGCTTGCGTCTTAGAAATCAAAGCCAGTCAAGCACATGCTCGAGCTCCCTAGGAAATCAAAGCCTGTTCATTTCCCTGAACTTCTTGCTGTAAGTACGCAGTTACCAGAAAACATTTCAAAATGTGACCAGCTTGGAT